AAAATAGAAGTATCAAATACCAAAAATATATTTAGGGTAGAGTTAGCTTAGCTAACTATGACGAAAAATTCCTATGATTTTCCAGATTTATACTTTTTTGTATGTTTTTAATTTAAAAAGTTTAAAAAAATTTGTTTAGTGTAACTGATTATGTTTATTGTCTTTTCTCAAAGAGATCACGATTCAAATCCCATCACCAATGTATTTTTACTGTAAATAAGAAAATAATAAATGAGTGTGAAGACGAATCTACCCTTCCTAATTTTGCTATGGATGCAAGAATTTTCTAATGGGGGAAACACCTTTCCCATTTCACTATTATATTAGGTTTAGCGAAAGTAACCCGGGGGGTTGAGCTTTTAGTGTGTCGGATACTATTTGGGCCCGTTTACATCAGTAGCGCCTTCTCCATCCGCGTTGGGCAAACCAACAACACTCAATCTTTCCATATATACCCATCTAAATTGCTCTAGCGTAACAATAGAGGCAGAGTAGGTTAGCCGACTGTTGAGTCTGACAGAAAGTTTGGAGAGACGACGATGGTTGAGCGTTTAGTGGGTCGGGGCACTAATTGGGCTCATTTACATTAGTAGTGTCTTTTCCATCCGCGTTCGGCAAACCAACATCACTTAACCTTTCCATATTTACCCCTCTCTTAAAGACACATGTGCCCCATATTCACTCAAAAGCTCTGTGTTTAAAAATATTGTTACTTTATGGAAGTTATAACAATTAAGTTTATGTTAAGAATTCTACATCGCTTCTAGACATTCAAGAGTGCAATTCGGTATGGAATATTTGAATCAATGACATTTCGGTTGCTAACCATGGTGGAAAAGTCCTATGATTTTTTAGATTTAAGCCTCCTGTATGTTTTTTATTGGAAAAGCTCACACAAATGTGTTTATTGTAACTGGTTATGTTTCTTATCTTTGTTCGAAGAGACCACGGTTCAAATCTCATTAATGATGTATTTTTTTCTGTAAATAAGAAGTTAATAAATAACTGTGAAGACGAATCTACCCTTCCTACTTTCACTCTGGATGCAGGAAATTTGAAATGGGGCTTCAAGTTTTCTCATTTGGCTTTTATTTATTGTGTAGATATATCCTCCTTCCACAAATATAAGTAGGTTAACAGGACAGTGTTGCAACATTTGAGGTCACGCAATACTCATGATTTTTGTGTGGTGCGATATAATGTGAAGTACTTGGCATTCTTCGTCACCTATATATCTTTAGTATATTTTATTTATACACTTCGAGAAGCGAATCGGGTTGCTAATTCTGCGGCACAAACGCTATTCTGACATTAGCAATGTATTATGTTTGTGCCACAATACCCGCTGACCTGAAGCTTCACTTCGCCTGGCGCCTGCCTACACACACACACAAAGAGGAGGGCGCCTGAGCCCGTTAATCCTCCGACGCCCAAGTCAGTTCCTTAGAGAGGGAAGTGTCCCGAAGTAGGAATGTTAGCGAGAGAGTCCAACCTCCGTAAATGCTACCAACTGCCCCTATTTATACTCACCGAACTCGAGGTTGATCTCCTCCGCGTCACTGTCCCAATTTAATGCTTTGTGCCCTCTTTGTCAGACATCTAACTGCCTTGTCAGGCTTCTAACGCGCGACAGGCGCCCGCAGGCAATGGACCACCTGACAGCTTGTCTCCCATTGACTTTTAGTGTTTTGTCCTTTTGTGCCCTTCCTCTTGCTTGGGCCTAGAGGTATTTAGTGGAACCATTTTTGGGCCTTGCCCCCCAATTCTACTGTTTGGGGGCCCAGACCACTAATTGCTGGGTAGTACCCCCAACATATTATATGCTTACTCGTACATGGTCCGTCTTAAAATCCGTGAGAGTGTCGTAATTGTTGTGGCGCCCCTCACTTATCTGGTTAATACACAATGATTTCTGTGGAAAAAAATATAAATAGGTTTATTCAATTTAGTTTTTCATGCCCTCTCTGCCAAGAGAGGAACGATTTTAGTCTTTTTTTCCTCTCCCAATTTTCAGTGCATGAGCTACTATGTGCATATTACTTGGTTTCGTCTTTTTCTCCTGCGGTCCACTAAAATTGTAGAACTTAATTCAACTAAAAACAAATTGTAGAATTTTAAGTAGCTCAGGCTATGTGATTTGGGCATATCACTTGCAGTGTTATCCCATAATCATAACAGTTGGACTTTTCATTTTTTTTCTCCAGCGGTCCAAGTTTAGCGATTACAATACCACAAATCTCATAACTGGGTTAACACTTTTGAAGATAATCAATAATGAAAAAAACTCACCTCCAACAATTTTGTGTCTAAGATGATATATATTGTGATGAAAATTGCATTTCAATATATGATTATGTTCTGTGTGAACGTGCTTGCAAAAATGCAAAAAAAAAAAAAAATTTGTAAACTGCATTTCAATATATATGATTATGTTTCGAAATATGAGTATTTGTTATTTTATTTGGAATCTCAAATTTTATTTAAATATAAGTTGTAAGTAAATTATTTTTAAGTATGATTAATATATGATTAAATTCATTTGATGTTAATGATTTTTCAAAATTTTATCTAATTTGTTAAACGGGCACGAACTGCTTGTACCACTAGTCAAACTATTCTACTTGCTAAACCGACACAATCGTTTAAACGTGTTTGACAACCTTTGATATGATCCCAATTGGTGCCCTCTACAAGTTTTTATTACTTGGCCATGAAGCAATCTCACCAACTAATTAACAAGAACACTAAAATTTGATTAAGTGTTTATTATGTGCTAGGGTACCTACTTCGCAAGCTTGGTTCTCTCAATTGGCTCAATGAAAATTCAAGATTAAGGGTTTGTATCGAAGACAGAGTGTTTTTATACAAGCTGGTATGCTTGGTGGATCCAAAACAAGTCAGCAAGATCATTTTCCAGAGCCCTCAAGTTGCTACCTCAAAACCGAGAAACTACCAGATTTTGGCCAAGTATGGAAGGTAGTTCAAGAAGCCCACTTTGAAGGCTTATTCGAGGAAGATGGATGAGAGTCGATCCAAGAGGGCTGTGCCACACGAAAGTAAAGGTTTTCTACTACAATCTCAAGGGATTGGATGAAGGAAAGCTCGCCTCTAAGGCTTTGAACGAAACCCTGCAAGATCGTATGAAGCCTTGTCAATCTGTCTTGCAAATCCGAATCCTTCTCGGATTAGGATTAATTTGGATTGTTTTCCTTTACCTGTTTTGAGTTGTTTTTTGAGTTCTATTGTGTTTAGGGTTTCCTTTGAGAGTTTGTAGCTTAGCCTAGTTCTATTTAAAGCTTTTTCTTGCGTTGTAATAGTCAGATTTCATTAAATTGAATACAAACATAGAGTTTGATTCACAAGCTTTGCTGTGTGGAGTTGCTTAGACGAGTCTTAGATAGCTTGTTTGCTTAATCAATCAAGCCATTCACCCTTTATCGTGGCCGACTTCTACCCTATTCTTTCCCAGCCTTCGTCCTTGTGAACAATTGCACGAGAGATCCATCCAAAATCCTTATTTCACCCTGTTTTTGTTCGAGATTGCAAGTTGAGTTCAATTCAACTCATGACTGCGTGATCCTGAGCAAAGAGACCCATCTAGGGATTCATCAACCTTGCTGATCATAACCATGGTTGTCATGGTGACTTCCTCCCAGCCGGTTCAACCGGGTACAATCGATGTCGATCGTCACCAAACTGGCTGGAAAGGGGCCGATATTATATCCCTTAGTAAAATCCGGTCACTATTGGCCAAGTTTGGTCAACCCCTAAATACCGACTAGTTAGACCAGAAACCAAATTTCAGTATTTTGATATTTTCACTTTCCCTAAAAAAAACATTCATCACGGAATTTAGACCAAGTATCTTGTATCCGCTAGTTCAATCATACACCAATAGGCTACCAAAGAACTTTTTTATACACATTAACCTTATATATTATATTACTAATGTGATATTTTACATAGATCATCAGTGGCGGACCATTCGGATAAGGTGTGTCGGCCGACAAAATAAGATCATAAATCAAAATAAAAATTAAATAAAAAATTGTATAAAATTAATTCATTAATATATTATTTTTTTTACAACGAACCACTACGAAAATACATATCTTGAAAGGTTTGTAAAATTCATTCACCGCTTATGTTGCAAATCAAACCCTTTTTATATACACAACTAAATAATCCTTCTTAATTAGTAGCTCAACCCATTCCGAAGATAATTTTTTATTAGATTTATAGTGAAAAAGACTCACTCACCGCTTGTAGTTGCAACATGTGAAGTCAAAACTAACTTTATAAGCAAGTAAACTAAAGAACAATAAGTATATTTTCCTTGTTCAACCACTCGTCAAGGTAGCTCATCAATTCTCGCAATCTATCAAAGCTCTTATGTTCCATGAATAAACAAAAAAAAAGGTTTAATATATTAGTATTAATTAAATATCAAAATGAATATTATATAATTATATATTTTAGGAACTTTCTAACAATAAATTTCTTATAGCATAATGAAGGTGGGTCAGTAACATTTATCAGAGGTGTGTCAGACAACCCAAGTTAAAAAATTTTACACCAAAAATATATAAGTATCTCACAGAATTTTCTGGCGGAGGTGTGTTGGACGACACCAAAGCTCACTTGGGCCCGCCCATGTATATCATTGTAAAAGTTAACAAAGTTCATTTCATATACTTTTATTTTTATGCATCTCATTGTTTACTAGTAGTTATCAATTTCTAACTAAATATTATTTTGTGTGAATTAACTCTTTTAATTTCTTCTTTATAATTAAATTATTTGATTTTGAGGATTTCTATTTTTCTCATGTATTTTATTAAAATCGGTATTACCAACATAAACACGATTGTTACACGATCGGATCATTCCATTTTTAAAATCGGCACACCGGGATAAATGGATTTCACAACGTAGCTAGCTCATAACTGATCCCGATAAAACTTCATATAAAATGAAAGAATGTATAACATAAACTAGTGGATGTATAGGTAATAATCAAAGTCACCTAACATTAGAAGTGATCCCAATCAATCTTTAGACTCGGTAATAAGTGGTAATAAGTAGAACCAACACCGTAACGAGCGGAGAAATTTGTACAATAATTATAACTAGTCAACAAAAGGGTAATCCAGAGGCATAAATCTGGCCGGGTATGGCTAATTAAAGAAGCAAATTTTACTCTACGTTAATTGGCATGCATGCATGATGGGAGGAGAAACGTCATTTTCACTATCTGCGGAATCCTTTCTTTGGAGTTGCCTTGCACTAATGTCGTCCCTGTTGTCGATCCTCGTCGCCGGCGTACAATATCCGGAGGCAGCTTTGCAGACACTGGTCGCGGGCTGCTGGGCCGCGTCGATGTGCATACTGATCGGCTTCTACGATCCAGGCAGCCGCGGGAGACGAAGCATCGGCCGAGCCAATAAGACAGCGCTGGAGACGGCCTGTTTACTCGCCGCCGCCACGATGAGATACTCGGTTCCTTGCTACGACCCGTACATTCGCGACAACAACGATTTCAGCGAATATAGTGTGAATATGTACTACTACATTGTGCTCGTCCTCGCCACCCACATGGTATGTTGCTATGATTTGAAAATCTGTTGTCCGTGTGAAATAATTAGTCTCTTCTTATATTCGTGGATTAGCTAACATGCACTCATTGTGTTAGTGACGGTAACGTAGCCAGAAATCCATCTAACATACATAGTTTCAATGTGAAAAAATAGTAAGTTTAATTTCAGGATGTATTTTCGTATATTAAAAGGTTTCTAGACCGCATTCATCGTGCAAATTATGAGGGATGTCATTTTGTACTTTACTCTATCGAAAATCATTTATGATTTCATCAATCATATGATTTTGAACTGTTTTTTTTTTTCACTCATTCATTGCACTAAGTGTTCTTTCTACACTTGCAATGACAACTAGTAGCAACATACGCCACTAAGTTTTGGGTTTTCGTCTATATCAAAATTAGTTACAAAATATATTAATCGAAAGTTAAACGAAGATCACATAATTAATATTGCTTTTTGATAAAATTGTTTACAACAATAGAGAGATCTGATCTTGTGTTAAATTCACATACAACAAATATAAAAATCTATGACCACATTTCTTGGGTCAAGGTGGTGCAAAGACCTCCTTTGGCTCTTAGTGGCTCTGCGCGCATGCAACTGATTAGTGAACCAGGCACAGATGTTGACTTGTTTATTTCATTGTCGATTTCTAATCCGATCCGCTACAACAAGGTCTAGGTCTATGGCTATCTCAAGGCTGTCCGGCTCCCAGCCGACGTGGATTTCGGGGATCTGTGGTCGGTGACGTTGATGGAGAATCTCGTGTATTGGGCGCCTGCGTCCAGCACCGCGGCCCAGCTGGCTTCCTTCGCCTTGTGCTCGGCCGCCGTTGCCTATAGTCACAGCTACCATCCCTCGTCGAGGAGCATCGTCCCCGAGGGGTTAGCTTCATGCCTGGTTTCCGCTCTGGGGCTCCCATTGTTCTTCGTCCCGTTCTTGTGCGATTATTTACTACACCTGATCATCGGGGATGGAGATTGGGTGCTCCGAATGAGGATCGTTAATATTTTTTCTTTTTTTGCTGGTTACATCTACCTGTACACGCTGGGGATGCGGTGGACGCGCGAGAAAGTTCGCGTCGACAACGAGCGTGCTGCTGCCGAGACAAAGAAGAAACAAGTCGATGCTATGGTACTTGTTCATTACAACGCTCTGCAACTCACGAGGAGGGGAAAGAAAAATTGGTCCTTTTGATGCTTATGATCATGTTTGTCACTCTTTCAACTTTTTTTTCTTCTTCCCAGGTTGTGTTGTATTAAGAAATACACTCTATAGTAGATTCTCATGTATGATTTTCTATCTTATACGAGAAGAAGATGTACCATTACTATATACAGGGGCGGACCCAGGGAGGTTTAGGGGTGTCCGGGAAAACAGTTGTCCAATTCTCAGTGGTAATTTACGTATGGAAAAAAAATTGATAGTGAGGGACACCCCTTAAATTTGAAAAAATGATTATCCTACTGTCATTTGTGTATAGGAATATAAGTGGTAGGTTGGATAATTCAAATTTTGAACACTATTATTATTAATAAACTTAATTTCTATTGAGCTAAACTCATTTGTTGTTCAATTTTGAACAATGTGTAATAGTAAAATGGCATTCCCTATCTCTAATTATTTTAAAAACCTAACAATTAAACTAATTTCAAACTACCCTTAATTTGTATTGATTTTATGATTGTACGGCAAGTGTTGAAAGAGTCTTTCAGCTTTGGGTTACATCAAGAACAAGTTTACAAATCGAATATGCGATAAGTTCGTGAATGATTGTCTAGCTAGCAGTGTATATAGAGACAATTTTTTTAACACTATAGACACCAAGTGTATTCTACAATTATTTCCGAATATGAAAACATATCATGGACTTTTTTAACCTATACGAGTAAGGTATTTTCATATTTACAATTTTATTTTTATCAATTATTTTTATTTAATTTATTTTTTAAAAGAGGACACTCCTATGATAAATTTCTGGGTCCGTCACTGACTATATATACGTTAGGATGTACACGAGAATGTAGCATAAAACGTTACGAAAGTAGCTAGGGAAGAGTATTAATTAAGATATTAGTAAACAGGTTAATCGGCCCAAATCTAACTAGTCATATCATGTGTTTTGTTGATGAGGGCCAACATGCATGCAACATTAGTCATCCATCAATATATAGTCTCCTAATATATTTCTTTTTCTTAAAAAAGTCTATTCCTTGGGGGCTTCAGCATAGTTTTTCCTTGTTGTTTTTTCCTAGAAGAAAGCCATAATGATCTAATGCAGGTGAGCTTCTTTGTTGACATTTTTTACTCGGGCTAGCTAGCTAGCTTTTGAACTTATCAGAGGGACAGATAGATAGATGTTGTAGTTGACCTACCAACAAGCTAGCTAGTACACATATTTCTGCACTCCACGTCTCCACCCAACTTAGACTTTGTCCTTATATATCTGCGTACATCTCCATTAGCTGCTTCAATTCAAATGCCCCCTATAAATTGCCTCTTCCATCAAGCCAAAGCCAAAGCAAAACCCCACACCTCTCTCACTTCATTCCAAACCACCACCTTTTCTGCTTCAACACGTACAGCTTCTATATTTTTCAGGGTTGAAAGGAGTACTGTGATTGATCAAAACCCGGCAGGCACCGCAACATATATGGCTTCTCACAGGAGAACATGTGTCGGTCCCATGTTGCTGCTGCTCTTCGCTATTGTCTTTGTCGATGTCCCATGCAGTGGAGTAGCTGCTGCTGCTGCGTCTCGCCGCATGCTGGAGATGCCGGAGCTTCCCAAGCCTGAACTACTGCCTCCTGTACCTAAACTCGAGCTTCCACCTCTCCCCAAGCCAGAGCTTCCCCATTTCCCTGATCTCCCCAAACCGGAACTGCCTCCTCTCCCCAAACCTGAGGTTCCAGAATTGCCCAAACCCGAAATCCCCAAGCCTGTAGTTCCAGAATTGCCAAAACCTGACCTCCCAAAACCTATAGTTCCTCAAATGCCGAAACCTGAACTTCCTAAGCCTCAAATTCCAGAATTGCCAAAACCTGACCTCCCTAAGCCAGTTGTTCCAGAATTTCCCAAGCTTGAAACTCCAGAGCTGCCAAAGCCCCAAGTTCCTGCACTGCCAAAACCTGAAATTCCTAAGCCCCAAGTTCCAGAGCTTCCAAAACCTGAAATCCCTAAGCCTCAAGTTCCAAAACCCCAAGTTCCAGAATTTCCGAAACCCGAGGTCCCAGCTTTCCCAAAACCTCAAGTGCCACAGCTGCCTAAAGTGCCAGAGATTCCAAAACCTGAATTCCCAAAAGTACCAGAATTGCCCCATCTCCCTGACCTCCCCAAACCCATTGCTCCTTGAATCTTTCCCGACTTGGTCATATACTAGCTACTTCTTCTCTGCCTCCTCAAGGTGGTGGCCATGGCTGCTGCATCTACTAGCGGTTTATCATACCATCATTATTCGCATGGGTTTCATTATTAGCATATTAATACATGTAACACCATATGTTTGTTTGTTTGGTTTCTTTTCTATTTCTGTTTTGTTAAATGATTTAGTACTCATTTATACTTGTGTGACTATCGTACTTCATCATGTCTCTCATATGATTTATATATATATATATATATTGAGATGAACATTATTCTATTTTTATTTATGATTTTCTGGTCAATTTAGTCAGTTAATTAAGATTCATCGTCAGACTAGTCATGCTAGTACTGTCAATTAACCAATTAAATTATAGCCATATCAAAAGTGTTTTTTGGTATAATTTAATCCAGTCTGATTTCAATTAAAACCAAACTATATTATAATTGGTGCCACTCAATTTAATCTTGTCTGATTTCAATTTATTTCTTTTTTCTGTTGAGAGTCTTGTACTTCCAAATTACATTAATTGCAATGAGTCAATGACAAATATGTTTTTGGTAATTTGATTATTAGTTAAGTTAATTCAAATCACCTTTAGAATTGGGTGAATAACTCGCAAGAATAGTTTATTACTAATAATTCGAGTATTTGTTGGACATGAAATTGCTTTTATATATATATGGTTATGTCACTTATAGAGTTGGGTGCATTGTATGCACTCATACCGAAGTAGCCACTATATATATACATTTATCTTAGTTATTCATCTTTTCATCTACTTTTGTCTTTCAATGAATAACAACATCCGATAAGAAAAGAATGAGTAGCTCATCAAAGAAGCAACAGAAGCAACAAAGATATATTTAAAACCTTGCAGTGCGTTTCTTGATAACAACATAACCGTTCTTGGAATGGTATTAACTCACAACGGGTAGGTCTGGGTGCTCTCGCATCGGCCTTGGATTCGAACTGACCTTCCTCGGTCCTCTTCCTCCCTCTGTCCCCTCCCTCTCCAATACATCGAATAATAAGAAGGAGAATATGGTGAATACACCAACTAGTCTGAGCATTTAGTCCACCAGAAAAACCGACAAGTGGTTTCGCTTGTCTTGTTTTCATTGGATCTTATTTCCTCGTGTTTGCTTGTCTTGTTTTCATTGGATCTTATTTCCTCGTGTTTCACCCAACTCGTTTCTTAAAGCCCTGTGAGGAGGAAGATCGAGTTGAAAGTAGTTCGACCAATGAGGTTACAACAAAATAACAATTTCTGAAAATTTGAAATTCAATTTATTAAGGTTTGTTGGTTATAATTAGAGTCACCCATGGCTTGTTTGATGTGGAGATAAGTGACATAGACTGAAGCAAATCCAAATCTCACGTTGGTTGAACCTCGAAGCTTCTTGTGTTGTGCTCGTTATGAAAACATTTAAGTTATTTGGTTCTCTCTAATATCTCAAAGTCTAATTTGAACTTATTACTAACTATACATACCATGACATGTACATGTCTAAACTGAAAAATCAATGAGAAGATCAACGATATATACTAACAACCAATCACAATAAACAAATTTCCACACATATAAATATATGTAGAAGACATGGTTGGTTGCATGTTTCTAATCATATAATTCACATTGATCACCAAAATTACATTATGTTATATATTGTTGGAATTAGTCCATATTCTCCAAGAGTTAGAATGTTCCTATTATGCATGCATAGCGCTTATTCTTTGCAATGTGGTATCTTGAATCTGTTCTCTTACCTAAACTACAAGACTCGCGTGAAGGCTCAAAAGAACAGAAAGCTTCACGCAAATTGTCCTTTTTTCTGGTGAAAACCTTTTAAAGTGACAACTAATTACTTGCAAATACAGTAGTTTCTGATGAGTGATGACAAAGATGGTCTGAAACTAACATCTTTTGGAAGGAACAACTGATGGGTTGTCATACGAAACTACTCAGAGTGACCCATCATCAGAATAACAGTAGTGTCTGATGTAAAAAAAAAAAACCACAGGATAAAGCTAGGACGAGCAAGCAACAAATAACTAACCAAGCCACACAAAGAGCAAGTCTCTCTAGCTCCCATCTGCCTAATCGACTTCAAGTACTCAGCACGCTAATCAACTACAAGTTGTCGGCGCTTGTAACGCACCATCACGCTTCCTTTAACACCCACAACCATTGCATTCCAGTCGATTTCTGGGAAGGGAGAAACAAGCTCCAGCTCGAAGTTCCTCAGCAGATGGCTCCATATGGCCTTTATCTGCAAGTATGCAAAGGGCTCCCCGAGGCAGCCATGCCTACCCCCACCAAAAGATATGTAGGAGAAAGCCCCTGCCGCCTTATCCTCTTCCCTTCCGGGAGCAAACCTGTCAGGATCGTACTTATCTGGCTCGGTGAAGATGTGTGGAAGCCGGTTAGCAAACGCAGGAGAAGTAGCCACGATGTGCCCCTTAGGGATGTCATACTCCTTCCCTTCTTGTGTGGTCACGCTGAAATCGCTGTGTGATTGGCGCATCAACATTATCAATGGAGGGTGCAACCTCAGAGCTTCCTTGATGCACCTGTACAGCACATCCATTTCAGACAGTACGTCATGATCCACTCTGTTACCGTGCTTCCTCAGCAGCTGCTTCTGCTCCTCCACAACGCTAGAAAGATACTCCTCCTTGTGACGTAGGAGGTAGGCCCCGGTCCAAGTGGATGTTATAGAGCTAGTGTGCTGCCCGGCGAAAAGAGCCGCAATGAGCAAGCCTGTGACCTCGCCTTCAGTTGTCGGGCGACCATCTTTGTACTTGGAGTCGATAAAGCATTGCAGCATGTCGTTCTCCGAGCTACCAGTTTTCTTCCGTGAATTGATAATGCTGGCGAAGATCTGGGCGAGCTTCTTGCGAGCAAGGTCACGGCGTCGGTGAGCTGGGATGGGGAGGTAAGGGAATAGGACACTGATTGGAAGCATCCCATTGTCGAGATCGTGGAATAGTGCAGAGACATCATCAAAGAGCTTATCACGGACTTCTCGGCCAAGTAGGCACCTGCTTGCTGTCAGGATGATAAGATGCTCAAGCTCGTATTTCAAATCCACCTCTCCGCTGTCTCCCCACTTGGAGAAGTAATCCTGCATTGTTTGACGATATGACAAAAATCAGACTACACAGTAGGAGTAGAAAGACTATAAAAAGTGGTTTCTATATGTAATATTGTGTTTGTTCATAACCCAAAATATACTTGTATATGAAATTGTACCGGATTTCAAATGTACTCAAGCACAAAGGTATTAACAAAAACCGATCAATTCATTCAATTGAATACTACTGTCAATATTGTTCTCACAAGTACCCTACCCAAACTACTTGTAAAAAAGAGATCATGTTGGTCCAAGCAAAGTCGCTTATCATACTTGATTCTAATAAGAAATTGCAACAGTGTCAAATAGAAGCAATTGCATAGAGAGTGAGGGATCGTAAGAAAAATTCTGACCTGCGCTTCTGTAACCATCATATCAACATAGCCCTTGAGCTTGTTGACACGAAGGGACTCGGTGAAGAAGCGGAACTGCTCCTGGCGGATGGAGTAATCGACGTCGAAGACAACACCAGGGCCAAAAGTCGGGACATTGAACTGGTAGACCTCCTGCTGGCTGAGGTCAGCTTCAGGGGCCTTGAAGAAGTGGGCAGAGACCTCCGGGCCAATGAGGAAGGTGATGTTCCTGTTGACAAGATTCAAGGTGAAGACGCTTCCCAGCTTGGGGTACTCCTCCCTCAGCATCACAATGGGACCCTTTAGGAACCTCAACAGCCCACCAACCACTGGTATCCCCTGCTTCACCCTTGGGGGTAGCCTCCGCTTCCCAGATCGGCTCATGGACAATGCAGACACCACTTTGGCCAGCAGCACAGTTGCCACGATCAGGAGCCCCACGTTCACCAGCTTGGGGCTGAGTTTATTGTTTTCCGGATCCGAATCCATGGCTACGTTCGAGCTACCTACGCAGTACGCACCACTGACATGCAAATCGAAGTATGAGCGAGCTAAATGAGGGACACCAGCTTACACAAACAAATCTAGAAGGATAATTCAAAGGGGAGAAACCAAAAACACATCCAAACTCAGCGGATACAAGTGCAGATGCAGTAGAAGAAACGATCTCGAACTACATCGAAACCAATGCAGTAAAAAGATCTGATACTTGCATACAGGCTGGCAATACAAGTCCTAGTGAACAACCTAAGCTAGAAGAGGACAGACGCATTTAAGGGATCCACTGATTGCTAGCATTCAGCAACTGATTGAAGGGAACCCACAAATTACTGTCCACGAATCAAACAATCCACTCACGCCACGCACCATACTAATCAGCCATTAGTTCAAGCCCGGAAGTTTGAATCTTTTACCTCGGCAGCAGGAGCCAGTAGACCGGAGAGATGAGAAGAGCGGGAAGCCGGATGGGGGAAACGGCGGGGACGCGGCTACCGACGGATTTGCAATCAGCACCGAGAACACCAATGGACGATTAAAGGCGTCCACAGCGACATCAACGAGGAGATTAGTGGAGTGACCGAACAACTGGCAGATCTCAGATTCCCCTTTACGACTCCACACTGATCCTCTACTTGTACTAGTGTTGGACCCCAACCCGTTGGCCGGCTGTTGGTTTTGCTTTCCATGTGGGTTTGTTTGTTCTTTTATGGATAGAAATATGAGTTTTGTTTGGATTAGTGCTTATAAGCGAGTTTTAAAGTTGTTATTGTTTTGGTAATATTGTTACTATACATGTATTGACTAAAATGCATAGTTTTTTCAATCTTTTAGCAGTAACAATATATGGATTGTTTCTTTAATGTGATGGGAACTAGCACTCAAAATGATTGATTGTTATATCTCGGCTTTTAGTTGTGATTATTGAGATTTTTTTGTCACTGCTTTTAACTGATGTGACATACACAATCACATATACTAAACGTTGTATTTTACAATGCATTGAATTCGAAAATAATGTATAATATATATTGTACATATATTCACAACAATATATCTATTTAACAATTACAATTTCCAAAAGTATTTTTATTAGTCAAAATTTTGTACTTTGTAGAGAGTTGTGTGCTTTTCGAGCTAGAGGTAGAGTTGTGGTGGTTTTGTAGTTTGCAATTATATCGTTTTTCATTGCACTAAAAAGGTATTGAATAATTATATAGAAGATAACTTGTTCAACATCATATTAGGATTAAAATAATAAAATAATATTTTTTTCGATCCAATTTTTCTTTCTTTATTTGTAAGAGAGTTCACATCATCAAGTTGAATTAAACTTTGGTTTGATCTAATTCAGATGTCATTTTTCTTCTTCTTTACTATCAAGAGGATTCATATAACCGAAGTTGAATTAAACTTTGGTTTGATCTGATCCAACTTTCAATGGTTATGATCTTGTGGAATGGGATTCAGGTTTTGTATAGTTCTATAATTTATAAAGGGTTAATAGCATTTTGTACCCTTCTACTATTGTCGATTAACAAACGTACCCCTGTACTATTTTTTTGCACGAACCTACCCTTCTAATATGAAAATGTAACGATTGTACCCTTCCATCCAATTTTCTGTTAGATTACCATTTAATGAGCTGTAAAATGACTTTATTGCCCCTCAATAACTCCTAATTTTGATTTAATTAAGTTTTATCTTTAAAATAAACAAACACAAAAGACGAATACGAAAAACAGGAGGAAAAAGGGGGAGCAGGAATTGAAATCATGCGAGCAACTTCACTCTCACCGCCGTCACCGTCCCGGCAATCCGAACCGCCGTCAGATTCTATCGGGACACCCCCAGCATTCCTCGCCATTAACGAAAAGGAACGAATCTGGCCTTTGGCTATTCCGATTCTCGCCGCAACAAGGAGCCTTCATCTCCGCCACCACCATTATAAATCCTACCCCCGCCTTCCTCTCTCCCCGTGCCCATATCTCCCACTCCGCCATTCCTCTCTCTTTCTCTCCCACTCTACTCATGAAATTCCCATTTCTAACCCTTCTTCTTCCCTCCTCAATCTCTCCTCGTAGCACCTACCCACCGCCGTCTTATTGTTTATGGAGATTCCCTTTGCAATTTGGGGAAGAACGGAAGAACCCATCTCCGACGAGAAAGCCGAAAATGGATATGAGATGGGTATTGCCGCACTTTGATGAAGACAATTAGCAATACCTTGCTCCGCCGATGACGACGGATTGAGCTAGAGCAACAATGAAACGGTCAGTTCGTCCCGTCTTCAGCATTCTCATATTCGTTCTCTTCGCCGCCACTCTCAGCTTCCGAATCCTACTCCGCCGAACCTTATTCGCCTGAGCTTCATCAGCACAATGTAATACTACCCCACCATGAAACCGCCCCTGTTTTCAATTCCATCACGGGGTAGAGAGGAAGAAGAAACGTTTGCTATTGAAGAGACGCCCTAGGTTTTTATTATTAATAAAATTGGTTTAGAGATAAAATAAATAAATTAAATCAAAATTAGGAGTTAGTGAGGGGCAATAAGGTCATTTTACAGCCCATTTAACGGTCTTTCAACATAAAATTGAATGGAAGGGTACAATCGTTACATTCTAATATTAGAAGGGTTTATTCGTGCAATAAATTAATAGAGGGGTATGTTTGTTAATCGGCAAAAGTAGAAGGGTACAAAGTGCTATTAACCCATTTATAAATAACTAAAACTAAATTATATATTTGAATATCAATAGGAACAAAGCACGAAGATACAACAACAATACAACGTCAACCATTTGCCAAACTACTCTCAGTAAAACCGGTCCAAGGAACTGACCTACCGCAAATGGAAAAGGAAACAATGCAAGCAGTAAAGAACGCTTCAAAATGGTGTACCAAGTTCACTCCTAGTTTCAGACGGGCTGTAAAGGGCAGACCGGTTTCTAGGCCTGTTCTCCTCCAACTGCTTCACTACTTCATCCATGGTTGGCCTGACAGAAGGAACTGGAGCACAGCACCCCATTGCAAGCTTCAACGCCTGTAGCAGACCTTCCTCCATGGGGTTTCTGAGACCCTTCAGAATGTCAATATCGAAAACTTCCATTGTTGTTTCCTCCAGCACTGCCTCCTTCACAATCGATGGCAGGTCCACAAAGTCACTGTCCTTCCCATTTTTCCCTGGTTTCTTGCCTATCAAGATCTCAAGCAGAAGTATGCCGAATGCATATACATCCGTCCTGGAATTGCACTTCTTCAAGTTCTGGAGCTCCAGTGCTTTATAACCATCGGTTTTCGCTTGGGCTACGATCTCCTCAGCTACAGTTGGGACCATCAACTTGTCAAGTCCAAACTCGGTGAGCCTAGCAACGGAGAAATCGTCGACCAGCACGTTTTTAGACCTCACGTTGCCGTGTGTAATAGGCGTCTCGAGACCCGTATGGAGATATGCTAACCCCCTGGCAATGCATAACGCTATCTTGTGTCGCTTGGCCCAGTTGAGCATTGGCTTCCCCACTTTAGTCTCTACATTCAGACATGTACATAAAACAGATTATGATGATGACGATGATGCATGAGAATGATTCCAATCAATGCAAGAACGAATCCAATATGCGAAGTCAAACTAGAAGCTAAAGGTTTGTTCTTATGATGGATTGTAGCCCAAGCAAAAAACAAAAGACATGCATTGCAACAGGAAAGCCAGAGAGAGGGAGAGACCAAACGTCTTTACCATGTAACAGATCATAGAGATTACGGTGTGGAAGATAGTCATAAATAAGCAGCTTTTCACCCCTTTTCCCTTGGTAGAAAGCTCTCAAGGGAATCAAATTCTCATTCCTGATTTTCCCTAGTTGTTTGATCACAGATGAACAAGAACTTCCATCCTTACAGCTCCCTTCTCTTAAAAGCCTCAGAGCAATCGTGCTCCCATCACTTAACTTCGCCTTGTATATGGTCCCGTAGCTCGTTTTCTCCATAACTTGTCCCGTGGCATTCAGCACATCGTTGAGAGTCAAATGCTCGCCACCTTGGAACATCACCAGCTTCCCTTCTCCACCGCCACCATTTTCCTCATCATCTTCTCCTTCCTCCAGTTCATCCTCACTATCTCCCCTCCCTTTCCTCTTCTTGTTCTGTACATAACCAATCAAAAGTGAAGCCAAGACCACCACTCCAGTCATCAACCCGATCACGATCCCAGCTATGGTGCCAGCGCTCAAGCCCCCAGAAGTTGCAGCTCCACTGCAACTTTTCAAGGGAAACCCGCAAAGTGTGGGACTGTTCCCTTCAAAAGCCTCCACCCCAAATTTGGAGCCCTGGAAAGTGGCAGGCAACATCCCACTGAAGTTATTGTGCGAAAGATTCAACTTCTCCAGGGTTTGTAAGCCCTGAGGAATCTGCCCTTCAAACGCATTACTTGAAAGATCAAGCTCCTTCAACCCTACAAACTTGGTGACAAATTCAGGGAACTTCCCTGAAAACCTATTGCTACCAAAATCAAGCACCTCCAACTTCTCGCAAGTGGAATTGGGTAGTAATGCGGCAGGGTCAGGAACCACCCCAGATAAGGAATTGCCATGAACCCTAACTATCACTAATTTATCGCACAAGCTCCAAACTGAAGGAGGTAAAGACCCAGTTAACAGATTGCCACTCAAATCAATATGAGAGAGTGAAGAGCTGTAACCGAGCTCGAGGGGTATGGTTCCAGTGAGCGAGTTGAAGTTAACGAACAAACCTTGAAGCATTGAGAACTCACCAACCTCTCTGGGGAGTGAACCAGTGAGGTTAGCCGAAGGGAGCTGGAGGGAGTAAAGGTGAAGAGAAGGTTCTTTGAAGAGGGAAAGATTGGACCACTGTGGAGCTGAGAGGTCCTCTGAACAAGAGAGAGGAGAGCCATTGGAGAAACCCCATTTGAGACCTCGCCATTGACAGAGTGGGACGGTGGTGGAGTTCCAAGATGAAAGCAGGAGGTTTTCATTGTTGTTACCTTGGAGCAAAGGTTTGATCTTGCCAAGGAGAAGCTCAACATCCGTCGTGGTAGCAGCAGAAATGTGGGCTAAGGCGATGGCGGAGAGGAAGAAGATGTGGGAAATTGGGCAGGGAGAGTAAAGTTTGGGAACCGCCATTACTGAAAGAGGAGAAAGTAAGACTGGAAGAAACCAGTGAGTTGAGTGAGTGAAGTTAGTGGAGGAACTAAACAAAGGAAAGGGAAAAGAGTAAACTAATAAAAAGCAGAGCTTTGGACTACTTTGTACGCCGTCCGATCAGCAGTCTTTCTCTTGGGGAAAGGTGGCGACCAGGGCAATCGACGGTGGAGCGAGAAATGGGCCCATTTGTCATTATTTGAAATTTCTTGGGTTGTTGTCTTGTTGAATTGTTGCTAGTAGAAAAGAGAACAACGGGCAGGTGGGAGACCGGGAAGGATGAAGCATAATGAGTATGCCAATGGCATGCTTTGGCCTTTGAGTGGCAAACTTACTAATAATGTGTGCTTTTGTCAGTGTTTGTTGTATACTACTTGGTATGAATAAATAGAAATAGTAACTGAAAAGGAGGAAGATGTAAATATGTTATATACTGTGGATCAGGAAGAAGAGATGTTGATCTTCTTGTTGATTGGAACTAGCTGGGATCACCATTAGTCTAGACCCTCATGTCAATTCGGACACCTGATCTAGTGTTGATACTGATGGTGAGCGTGTCCTTGTTGCTTGTGATATTGAAGCAGAAGCAACATCAGGCTATTGAAGTAAGATCACAAGGTGGCCTAACAGCTTGGCCACATACATGTACCACTAGTCACTACAGCTAGATTCAGTGGCGACTGTTGTCCGCTCAACGAGCTGGATCACCAGCACTCGAGTCTTGCTCTCATGTTTCGCATTGTCATTCAAATAGACTGGATAGTTCTAACTTCTAAGTGTCCCATATCCACAAGAGAAATGTTTTGATTACTTCCAAAAATAAGCAGATACATCTAAACCAAACACAAAATATTCTGTTGATTTCTACAAAAAAAAAAAAAATCTGTTGATCAAATAGCAAGGGCCAAGGAGAGATAGAAAGAGAAGACCAATGCAATTCCCTCAGTAAGCACCAAGTAACAACAAAGAAGATGGAAACAATACAAACCCAGAACTGTATTTTCCAGTTCATACAAACAACTACTTTATCCAGATCAAACAGCAGCATGAACCTGAGAGTCAACTGATCTCAACACTGCCTCTCCCATTTCCTTGCAGCCAACCAGTTTCTGCACAAGGTTGTGTTGTTTATATGAATGCATAATTTTGAATTGAATTCCTACTTCCGACTCATATGTTAGAGCAGAGCCAAGAAGCAAGCTAGCGATGCTTTCAACATAAAGAGATCACTTACAGTGCCCGTTGAATATATATCTCCCGTCCTGAGCCCCTTGTTTAGTGTATCAAGTACAGCATTCTCGATCCGCCTTGCAGCATCTTCTTCCTCTAAGCCATACTTCAAAAGCATTGCAGCACTGAGAATAGTCGCCAGTGGATTTGCTTTATCCTGCGTTATGAAGAATCGAATGTCAATGTGGCTGATATGAAAGACTAATACGAAACTTATCTTTAACATGAAGAAAAATCATGCTGACCTGTCCAGCAATGTCGGGAGCAGAACCATGAATTGGCTCGAAAAGTCCAGGACCCTGTAACCAATTAAATGTTTTCAAGTAAGATGTAAATGACTTCAAGCAAGAAGCCTTGGCTGAAGTGAGATTTTGTAAGTACCGAAGATCCAAGGCTAGCTGATGGAAGCATCCCTATGCTACCAGTGATCATAGAGGCCTCATCGGAAAGTATATCACCGAAGATATTGTTCGTCACTATTGTATCAAACTGCAAACATCAACATGAATTCCACAATTTCAGTTTGCTTGAAAATCTTGTTAACGAATTGTGAGGATCTGTTTGAAGTATGGAGACATAACCTGTTTCGGGTTCCGTACAAGCTGCATTGCTGCATTGTCGACGTACATATGCGAGAGTTCAACGTCGGGATACTCTTCTGCAATGGCAGTTACTCGCCTTCTCCACAGCATTGATGCCTACATAGTATTTAACACAATGAAAAATTTGACTACTGTCAAGAGATGTTACCAAAGAATTCTGCACAAATACCTCTAAGACGTTTGCTTTATCGACAGAACAAAGCCTTCCCTGCCGCTTCCTTGCAGTCTCAAATGCAACACGAGCAATCCTATCAATCTGGTACAACCATAAGTTTCACATCAACCAACTATTCACAACAAACGATGCAAAATATAAGAACTAAATTGCTCTATTGTACCTCATATGCTGCATAAACCTCGGTATTGAAACCGACTTCCTCGCCGTTTTCATCTGTTCTAAATCCCCTTGGCTTGCCAAAGTAAATACCTATTTCCAAACAAAAGATTGCTTCAGCTTGGTATAAGCCAGAAAGAAAAACACATACGTGTGCAAGAGATGAAAGCCAAAATAAATAAAACGCACCTCCAGTAAGCTCCCTTACAACCATAACATCAACACCTTCAGCAACTTCTCTCTTCAAAGTTGAAGCCTCCACTAACTAGCTAGCACACGATACAACAATCATTATGCATATGCCTACTCTCTGCATTCATGAAGCTGAAGGCAAATCAAAGACCTTCAAACAAGCACTACCTGAGGCAGGACAGTAGCTGGCCTCAAATTTGCAAAGACCTTGAGACCTTCTCTAATCTGGAGCAATCCAGTCTCGGGCTTCAAATGTTTGGCATTATTGTCCCATTTGTACCTTTGGAATGCCACAGGAAACTAGCACTATTACGGAATTGAAGATTGAAGCGAAAAGAATCGCGTAGGCTTAAGAAACAAACATCCAACGCTAGCTCGACTTACCCGCCAATTGCTCCAAGAAGAACTGCATCAGAATTTTTAGCGGCTGCTAAGGTTTCGTCCGGTAATGGAACTCCCACCAAGTCCAATGCTGATCCACCCATAGGCATCTCTTGGAAGTTAAACTCAATCCCTAGCACATCCAAGCCATCATATGTGTGAAAGTTAGATTCCAATACACTGTAAGTAATCAATCTAACCAAAATATCCGTTAAGCCACAGGCTAGTTTGAACATCTAAAACCACTCCCAACCAATCGAACTACTTGATAAGTAGCTCTCTTTACATTAAGAGCTAATAGCATAACAAGACTATACACATGTAAACCATCTCTAGCATTTCATTGCAGTAATCCTCTTTACTCTCAGTACCAAACTAACCTGAAAGACTCTGAATTTACATTTTACTGGCGATTTTCACTACACAAGTTCTTCCACTTCCAGTTCTTTTACCTTCTTCTAAGTACAAGGTACTTGCAGAAAAAAAAACCTACCTTCAAGAGAACCAGTAAGCTTGAGGACGTCCTTGGCCACAGAGATGACTTCGGGGCCAATGCCATCTCCAGGAAGGAGAGTAATCGAATAACGTTTCTGTGGCCCATTCGCCGCCGCGCAGCTTACACTGAATGGTCGCCGGGAGCATTTGGAAGCAGGGTTAACCCGGAACGCTGTGCTCACTGGCTTGCAAGTGATCTGCAGAGAAGCCGCCATTCCCCTGTCACAGGGAAAGATAAAAGATAGGGATATCCGAAGATAATTAAACACGGAGAACTGAAAGCTCAGTAAGGGCAAACGGAAGTTTATCCCCATTGAATCGATTCAGCCCAATGGCTAGTTTCGCTTGATAGTAACAAAGCTGCTTACTTTAAATTCCTCTTCGCTTAGACTGTTTTTGAGAGAGCAGTCGACGGCCAATTTTGAGCTGAGTTTTTCCGGGCCGCAGAGAAAGAAGAGGAAAGAAAGAGACATTCGGCGATGACAGCCAGGTACTTCGTCCGGGTCGTTTTCCGGGTCAGTAAATCCAAGGGCCGGCTATAAACTACCACTGGCCTGGCGGGGGAAAAGAAAAGCATAAACCATAAGGCCTCGGGGATCCATTTCTCTCGCCAGCCCATATTTCAGAGGTCCAGCCTACTTGAGTCCAGAACCAGCCCATTTCTCTTTAATTTCAATTTTCCAAGATGTTCTTCTAGTCTAGAGCGAGAAATCGCAGAGAAAGAAAGAGAGAGAGAGTGGGAGACAGCGACGAAGTGACGAGGAGAACGACGAGATCAAGCGGTCCTCTCCCATTCTTCCGTGATCTGTAAAGATTCTCTCTCTCCGTCTCCCGTTGCCGTCGCATCCTTCGGCCGCCGTCGTGTTCTATTTCGTGTCTGTACAGACGATTGAATAGGGAATAAAAAAAGGGAAGGAATTGAAGCTGAGGGAGGGAAGGGAGGAATCAATCGATCAATCATGTCTCTCAATATGAAAACCTTTACGCAAGCGCTGGCCAAGGCGGGAGCAGTGATCGAGAAAACGGTGCAGACGACCGTGCAGGAAGTGACGGGTCCGAAGGCATTGCAGGATTACCAGCTCATCGACCAGATCGGGTCCGCCGGCCCTGGCCTCGCCTGGAAGCTGTACTCCGCTCGGCCGGTGAGGGAGGCGGCGCGGCAGTACCCAGTGGTTTGCGTATGGGTGCTGGATAAGAAGGCTTTGTCAGAGGCGCGAATCCGGGTCGGGTTGTCCAAGGCCGCGGAGGACTCATTTCTGGATGTGGTTCGGGCCGATGCGACGAGGTTGGTGCGGCTGCGGCACCCTGGGGTTGTCCATGTGGTGCAGGCGTTGGACGAGAACAAGAATGCCATGGCGATGGTGACTGAACCGCTCTTTGCCTCGGTTGCTAACGTGCTTGGGAATTTGGAGAATGTTGAGAAGGTCCCGAAGGAGCTCAAGGGAATCGTAAGTAATTTCGCTCTAGATTGAATTCAGTTCAAAATTGTGGATTTCGATCTGGGTTGGTCTGTTCGCAACAGTTGTTTTCATTTGGTGAAGATTCAGTTTTCCGCTAACTTATAGGAGCTGAACTGAAATGCCTAAACTTGACTTGTAGAACTCTAGTCTTGATTTAGTAAATGCAGAGCAGAACTGATGAATCCTGTCAATTGGTGGTATATTGGTCGGATCTGTATGTGCATTGAGTTATTCGAAGTCTGACCAATGAATATCAACCTTATAGGAAATGGGGCTGTTGGAGGTGAAACATGGGTTGCTCCAAATTGCAGAAACGTTGGACTTTCTCCATAACAATGCACATCTAATCCACCGGGCGATAGCTCCCGAGGCAAGTTCCTGGAGTTTGTTCTGAGTGGTAGCTTGAACACTGGAGTTTGTTTCCCAGAATCTATTTCTGTATTTTCAATTTATACAATTAAAGCTTTCAACATTGACTTTCTGATTTACAGAATGTTCTTATGACTGCAAGTGGAGCATGGAAGCTTGGTGGATTTTGCTTTACGATTCCAAGCGACCAAGGTGGCAATTTGGCTAGTTCTCACGCCTTCCATTATGCTGTGAGTGTTACTTCATATTTCGATCATGTTTTCAACTGGCATTTAAATTGGGCTAGTTCAGCCTCCCATCAATGGGTTTGTTTTATTTGTTCTATCTGCTAGTTGTACTTTACATGATGCTGTTCCTAGTAAATCAACTGACATATCTTGTGTTGATTTATCTTGTTTTACATTGCAACAATCAAATGTTCCAATTTTCAGTGAAGATGATGCATTTAGGCCCACAGAGTTGTGTACATTAGTTTAATATTAGCTTTTTACTAGTGATCCCATACTATCATGTGTCTTTAAATGCCTTTTTGGTTAATCGTCAATTACTCTTGTCTTGAGCACCCTTTTGGTGTTAATCTCTTATTACCTGTCTTCTGCAGGAATATGATGTGGAGGATTCCATCATGCCTCTACAACCATCTTTAAATTACACCGCACCTGAACTTGTTCGTAGCAAAGTGCCTTCTGCTGGGAGTGCATCTGACATTTTCAGCTTTGGATGCCTTGCTTACCACTTGATTGCTCACAAACCTTTGTTTGATTGCCACAACAATGTCAAGATGGTATTCTTTCCTTTTATAGCTAATGTTTTCTAGGGGTTTGAACTCTAAGTGGCTCATTTGTTCCTTTCTCTCACGGCTTTCTTATCACCTGTAGTTAACAAAATGCATTTTTAATGAACCGTGAGGGCTGAGCTGTGTATAATTACGTTGGTGATATTTGACTTACCCTAGGTTTAAAACTTAGAGTCCATACAGCTATAAAACAAATGAGCTTCAGTGCATGCGATGCAATTTGGATTTTCATCCTTCAACGAAGAATGTAAGGATTATGCCTGTATGCCATTCCATGAGGTTTTTATAGCTTAATGCTTCCAAGCTGACCTTTGGACCGTATTTTTCCTTGCCATGTGCACTCATTCCATATTTTTAATTTTTTTTATTAGTGTACAGTTCTTGTTGAACTGCTCAATACTACTGGTATTCTGTTCATTTGGCTTCTGATTATGACCTGAAGAGAAGTGGCCTAGAAATATACTGAATCCTCTGGAAGAGCAGTAAAATGTGCATAATTATACAAGTGGATGAAATTTAATTGGTTCTCTTTCTGTTTGCAGTATATGAATACTTTGAATTACTTGTCCAGTGGGTCATTCTCCTCCATTCCTTCTGAACTAGTACCTGATTTGCAGAGGATGCTCTCTGCAAATGAATCTTTCAGACCTTCTGCCATGGATTTTACAGGTAAATACATCACTATTTAGATTTTAGACTGCAATGCAATAGTTCATAATGAGAGGGTAAGAAGATAAATAGATTTTCTTACCAATAAAAAAGAAGATAAATAGATTTATCTAGTGCTGATATAATAGTGATGGGGTTTACTCTTTAGTAGACAATTAGTTTGACTGACTCTGGTGCAATTGAGGCTTTTATTTTAAGATGCTCCTCTTTCAAACACGATCGAAGTATTTCTTGTAGAAGGGTTTGTTTGGCTTAGTTTGCTTTTACATTGTTTTAAACCCTAATGTGGATTTAGGAAGAATAGACCATGAAAACCTTTACGCAATTGTGTTGTTTTATTTCAGGTTCTGGATTTTTCCGTAATGACACGAGGCTGCGTGCTCTTCGATTCCTGGACCACTTGCTTGTATGCCTTTGTGTTTAACCTTGGGAAATTTAAGCTGAACTCTGATGATTTTGGAATGCAATCAATTGTGGATTCATGAACGTTCTCTTACCTTTCAGGAGCGAGATAACATGCAGAAGTCTGAGTTCTTAAAAGCATTATCCGATATGTGGAAGGATTTTGACTCACGTGTATTGCGGTACAAGGTTTGAGTTTTATTTGGTGCTACATTACCTGGCCAATCTTTCTGGACTGTATCGTTAGATAGCAATTCAGTATCTATTTGTGGAGCACTCTATCTAGAAGAGTCAGCTGGTATATTATTACTATAGAAATTAAACACAAAGTATTTAATGGCCAATGCTGGTACCTGCTTGTTTTGCAAGGTGGATCTGTGTTCTCATGTTTGTGTTTGATTATGGAGCATGTGGCGATAAATTTTCTTCATGTATTTTGTTAGCAAAATATCATTTGTTAGATCTGTCTCATTCCCTTGTTGTTTGTTTGTGTATTTCTTCTTTATCCTTTTTTTATTATAAATTTCTATTTTGGCGAAAGTTACTAACTTAAGTGCTTTTCCAGGTGCTTCCACCTTTATGCGCAGAACTCAGAAATATGGTTATGCAACCAATGATTCTCCCCATGGTTCTCACCATAGCCGAATCTCAGGTATTGAATTTGTTAGCTGAATGACGTCTTTTGTTGTGTCTACATAGCCAGATACTTATGTTTCTTGGTTGTCGTTCATACATTGATGCTCTCTTTGTCCACCCATTGATTAGGGTAACCTTGATTTTATCGAACTTAGATACTCCATCTTCACTAAGGAATATTTATGGTTCTCATTTTGAAATATCTTAGTGTGTGAATTTTCTCCTTTAATGTCTATAGTAACCATTTAAACTTTTGAGAAGGCTATCCTTGTACGGAACATTTTTTGTTGGGAACTTAGTGTGTATAGTAGCTCCCTTGTTTTTGACAGTTTCCTCAAATGCTTGTTTGGTAGAGGAAGAAAAAGTAAAATTTTCTTATTTCTTTCTGGTTTCATCTTGGACATTAGGCTTCTTGGATGTGACATTTTGTCTTGGGCTAAAGTTCTATGTTGAGAAGTGCATTGCTCGTGCAGATAAACACTCATTTGTGTACCTAAGGAAATCATTTTTGCATTCCTATGGTCTCTTGTGTGCATATCCATGTGAATTTTTTTTATTTTCTGCAAAACGAATAAGTGATGGACAGTTAAACTGATACATATGAGTTTATATCGAGGAGTGATCAAAATTATGATTTTCCATCTATTGTAGGATAAAGTAGATTTTGAGCTTTCAACCCTTCCAGCTCTTGTTCCTGTCCTCAGTACCGCTGCTGGCGAGACACTACTTCTTCTTGTCAAGCATGCAGATCTCATAATCAACAAGGTAACTTGCTCTATCCACACACCATTTTTTGTCCGTATTTTAGAGAAGGGGGAGTAACCAAAGATGGGAGGAAAAAAAGAGGGAAAATATAGAAAGATGAAAAAGAAGGGAAAAAAAGAGAAGGGGGGGGGGGGGGGGGGGGGCAGCGAGAGGATGCTCTTTTTGTTTTCATCTATTTATGATTAGTGTCAGAAATTGTTGATTACAGTTAATAGCACCATCATAGAAACAAATTTATATTCCTTCATCTAGAGCTTTTGGACTGTAAATTTTTGGGGAATTATTGATATCTTCTTTTTACTCTTCATCCTGCTTTTCACTAATTTCACGAATATGTTCGACATTAGAATAAGTCTGTACTAATATCCCATTCTGTATAACACTTGTAGGCTAGTCATGAGACTTTGGTATCTAGTGTCCTGCCAATGTTGGTTCGAGCTTATGATGATACTGATCCACGCATCCAGGAGGAAGTTTTGAAAAAATCTGTATCTCTTGCCAAGCAACTTGATCCTCAGGTTTGATAGCATTTCATCGAAGTTGCTCTCAAGTCTACTTTTCTTATCAGTGGAAGTATATGCTTGAAATGAGTTGTGACTTCCTTGATTTGATACTTAAACCTGTTGGATTCAGACAAATAATTGACCAATACTTTTCTTTTATCATCATTTGGGATACCCCTTTAGAGGCCTGAAGGTGAATAAAATGCACAGAGTTGTCTATATTTCCTGGTAACTGATGTCATTTTTGGGTACTGTGCATTGTTTTTGTATTTCCAGCTAGTGAAGCAAGCAATTTTGCCTCGGGTTCATGGATTAGCTCTCAAAACAACTGTTGCTGCGGTATGTATATGGTTTATGTGGACCAACTGATATAAGGTGCAACATGTTTCAACTTCTGAGATGCAGGATGTTTTTTTTTTATGTTTGGATATCTCATATGAATGCCTCGCCGGAAAAAAATCTCATACAAATGCCTTATTATCATTTTGTGTTTGCAGGTAAGAGTGAATGCTCTGCTATGCTTTGTAGAATTTGCTCATTCACTCGACAAACATGCTATTCTGGACATGTTGCAAACCATTGGACGTTGTACAGCAGTTGACCGTTCTGCTCCTACCCTTATGTGTACTCTCGGGGTTGCAAACTCTATTCTAAAGCAGGTAATGGTTTGAAACATATGATATTAGAGGTGAATATTGTGACCTCAATTGTTTCATTCTTCTGACTGGAACTCTTTTTGTCAGTTTGGAGTAGAATTTGTTGCAGAGCATGTTCTTCCCCTGCTTTCGCCTCTGCTCATTGCCCAGCAGCTTAACGTGCAGCAGTTTGCCAAATACATGCTCTTCATTAAGGATGTCCTGAGGTATTTTCACTGCTCCATCTGAGATCCATAGTACACTGATCATATCTGGGAAGCCTTTTAGCTCAATCATGGTTAGTAGTTCTTTTTGAAGTCTTGAGATTTATGTAGATGGAATGTGCTGAGGATTCGTAATGCCACCAAGAATTGGACATTCATTATTTTTTCTTTTTCTTGGTGGAAAAAATGTTATGCTAGGGCACTTGGTCTAATTGAACCGGCAAGCTAAGGACAATTATTGAATATGTACGATGATTATTATAATATCTATGGTATAGAGTTTGAACATTTGAAATTGCAACGGTTATCCCATTAATTACACAAAGCTCAAGAGTAAATGCCATAAGTTGAATGTCTGTGGTGTGGTCGGCTTGTATATCCCTCCTGTCTATCTAGTTTCCACATAAAAGAAGTGTGTATTATCATAACCCTGCTTTTTGGTAATTCTCTTTAAACAGGATGATAGAAGAAAAGCGAGGGGTCAGTGTAAGTGATTCTGGAATTCCAGAGGCGAAGACATTGCCTTTTGCTAATGGGACTCAGTCTCAAGCATCTAGCAAATCAACTGGCACAGTTGCTTCTGCAGTAAAAAAGAGTCCTTCTTGGGATGAAGACTGGGGTCCTGTCACCAAAGGTTCTGACCCTTCAAAGCACCCTGCTACCACACCTATTCCCTCTATTTCAAGCAACCCATCTCCTGCTCCTACTACTATGACATCTTCGGGCAGCCAGCAGCAGCCACTGCAATCATTGTCTTCCATGGCCAGTCAACAACCAGTGGTGTCATGCACTCCAGTCGACATAGAGTGGCCTCCTCGGTCATCATCTTCTGGTGTAATCCCGCAGCAAAGTGATGGCTGGGGACAATCGAGTATGGTGGCATCATCATCTGCACCAGCTCTTGACGATATGGATCCTTTTGCCGATTGGCCTCCGAGGCCTAGCAGCAGCACCTCCAGTACCTCCAACACTTTGAACAACGGTAAAGTTGGATCGCTCACTCCAACTTACGGCTCTAACTTTGCAACCATCACATCCAACAGCAGCACTCAGAGCAATGGGAGCAACAGCTGGGCGTTCAACAACCAGAATTCGCTTACCATGGGACGAGGAGCTGTGAACGGTGGTGGTGGCAGTGGGATGAATCCCAGCCACTCCCTCGGGGTCTTGAAAAGCAATCAAGGTGGAAGTATGGTCTCGTCAAGTAATCAAAGGACGAGGTCGTCGGGAGATCTGGAATCCATATTTGGTTCCGGGAGGAACAACGATAATGGAGCTTTAGCTCCGAAGCTTGCTCCGCCTCCTTTGACAGCTGTCGGCAGAGGGAGAGGGAGAGGGAGAGGGACAGCGGTTGGCTCGACTATGAAGTCTTCTTCTCATGCCAACAACAAACCTCAGCCTGGACAGCCACCTCTCTTGGATTTGCTATAAAATCAAAGCATAACACGAGGTAAGCACAAGAGAAAGAAATGGTCTTCAGTCGTGTGCAACGTTGCAATCTGAACCAGCTTCGTCCTTAGTGGTCATCTTGGCTCGACACTGGTCTAGCCGGCTCGATGTCTTGAAATATATAAATATGTGTATGGGTTCAGGGGAGGTTTTGGGCTGAAGGTGATGGTTTGGCTCCCATCAAATGTTTGTTTTGTGGGTTTATATTTTTATTGGCTTGTATTCAAGTTATTGTGATGAAATAAATAGATGAAAAGAATATGTACCCCATTCTTGTAATTTCTTTTTGTATATGTTACTGGAGGTTTCTTCCACTTTTTTTTTTTTTTTTGACAAATATTTTTACCACATTTGATGTTTTTAAAAGTTTAGTAATAGGTGTAATTGTATCATTTTATAAGTGTAGAATTGATTAATCAATTTTATAAAAAGTGTAATTGCATCTGACTCTTGTGTGAAATCGTATTGTATTGAAGGTAATACGGAAAAATGGAAAATTTTGTGATATAAGTAAAATTGTTGTTTAATGATGATTCAATTAATTATTTTATGTTGTTAAAATATTATATAGCGATTTGCTACCCGGTACTGGATATTGTGTATCTGATGTAGTGGGTGGGTATGGTCCGATTTTTAAAACATATTGGTTGGTCCGTCCAAGGATATGCCATGCGTAAGGACGGAGGAGGCCAAATCGCGTGGCGTGGCAAGTCCCTGAGGTAGAGGGCCACGTTGACAAGCTGAGTTCCTCCCACGTTGAACCTTGTAAACCTGACCTCCTTTCAGTTCCTTCCTTCCTATTTAAACTTCACTTCACTTCAAACCCATCAACATATTGGTATGTATCATCGAATCCTTCCTAGCGTTGATACATTTTTGAGACAGTAATTCAGCAAGTTTGAGGCGGCCGGCAATGGAGAACTATCAGAACCAGTACGGCGCAACTCGCAGCACCACCGGCCCAGCTGCCGCCCATCAGGTAGTAGACGAATACGGCAACCCCATTATTCCTCATCACTCTGCCGCTGCTGCTGGTGGAAAACAAGGGCGTGGGATCTCCGGGATGCTTCACCGCTCCGGCAGCTCGTCCAGCTCCAGCTCTTCCGAGGACGACGGGCAGGGAGGGAAGAGGAAGAAGAAGGGAAAGGGACTGAAGGAGAAGATCAAAGAGAAGATGCCAGGTGGTCACAGTAAGGATGATCATTATTATGATCCACACCGCCCTACTACTACTACTACGCCGGCCGGTGGATACTATTCCGCCGACGAGCCTCATCACAAGAAAGGCATCATGGAGAAGATCAAGGACAAGCTTCCTGGGGCTGCCACCCATCACTAAACTAAACTAAACTAAACTAAACATCCATCCATCTTCATCGTCGCACTCTCTCTCTTTTTTATAATGTTATATGTATTAGTATAATTAACAAAGACAAATAATAATAATTCCATGGCGGTGGATGTACCTACACAGCTCCATAGCTCTTTTATATATTCTGCGTGACTGCCTTTTAATTTGGTTTGTTTTCTATGTACCAATAGATGCGTGAAGATTACTCTTCACTCCATAAAAAAAAAAAAAAAAAAACTCTTCACTAAATAATAGTATCTGCTTTTTTAGGGAATAATATCTGTTTATTAGTATTACATTCGCCCCTGTTTAGTATTAATTATATACACCATCTAGTTGTTATTAATTTGCCTTGTGTTTTTTTCTTCTTCTTTCAATTGCAATGTTTCTATAAATCCAACTACGTAACATGAATTTTGGTCTTGCTCAATTTGATCCAACCCTCTCATCATGCAAAGTACATGCAAAGATCAAAGTCACCCATTACAAGTGAGTGAATCATACTTATTTTGCCCTTGTTTGTAAATAAGAAACGTCTAAAAATAAAAATAAATTAAACGTCTGTTCAATAGACAAAAAAAATATGACAAAATACTTATTTAGAAAATCTTTCACATGTTTTGATAACCGCTTTGGGATCTCTCATGTGTGTCGAATTTCGTGGATTCCTCTCATCACATAATATAAATATATTGTAAGAAAATACAAGCCTCCTACGATCAATAAAGGAAATAATTGAACATTGAAGTGTGTTAGACGTAATTGAACATTGAAGTGTGTTAGACCATATATCAATGAAAGACACAATATGATATGTGGTCTACAATATTGTGTAACACATTAGCATGGTTGGGTGAATAACATGCTAGACATGGGTCTAACTTACACTTATTGGTCAAATTTCTACACTAAATAAATCTACCTTGTACTTTATCCCTCAATTTCTCACTACGTACGGTTAATATTGAACCGGCTAGTTTATTTCTACTACTACTACGTCCGATCCCCTGCTAAGCTCCGGCCAACACATGTTGAAGAGCAGACATCCTCCTAGACTGTAACCCAATGACGAAACTCGTAGATGGACACTGCGACAGAACAATCTCGTAGCCGTCGTTGTAAGACTCCATCCCATCGGCCAACAGCTGCCACACCAACCCGCCGCCGATGGTGCCGCCGTACCTGGCGGAGCCGAATATGGTGCCATAGACGGCGTTGAGGAACAAGTCCCTGCCGACGTTGGCGTACCCGGTGGCCTTCTTTGAGAGGCCGAACTCGGCAAACACCAGTGGCTTTCTCAGTATCGTCCGCGAGTCGGTGAGGTGGCTGCTCATCCACTTCTGTAAGAATGTCATTTGCTCGTACCTACTCTGCCCTGCCAGCCTACACGCACGCACATGCATGCATCAGAAAAAGAAACACTTTTCTAATGATTGGAATTAAGTTGTTTGTTCGTGAACAAACAGGATGAGATCGATTTGCCTGTTATATATGTTGATGTTATACGACACGTACGACACTCACCATGCATCAGGGTAGGCATGAATGGTGGCGAAATCGATGGATTCGAGGAGGTTGCTGGTGATGAAATCTGTACCAACTTGGTAGCCAGGGTTGAATTGCTTCCTGTCAGGAGTGGAATCTCCATAGAAACCTTCCATTCCTACGGCCAGCAAGTGCTTGTTGTCGATCAGTTTCAGGTACGACCCCATCTCCTGAACCCACCCCTGCCACATCACATCAATCATTTGCTTAATTAATTCACGACCGATCAATGATATATACCACATATTTCCGACCAAATACAAAAATTAATTTCGTCACAGAAGAAGAATATTGTGCTTAATTAATTAATTACCGTGATTGTATCGCCGGAGGAATCAATCTCGCAGCGCGGCTCGTTGATCAGCTCCCACGCCATGATCGTGGGGTCGTCCTTATAAGCTGTTCCGGTGATGGTGTTGATCCTCGTCAACACCCTCTACACGAGACAAGACGATATGAAATTGAACTATGAAATATCAATTACACTTATGTGGAATGGAAAATATGATCACATTGTGGTACGGTGATGGAAGTTTCGAGTAGGTTGCTTACCGCGATATGGTTCTTGTAGTACCATTTTAAGACAGGGTGAGTGTAGAAATCGTCATCTCCGCCCACACCCGGGACGCCCAGGGTTCGTGCCCAGGCAACATATTGCTGTCTTCCGCCAAAGTCTTTGTAGTTGTTGGTTAGTGTCAGGATCAACCGAATGCCACGCTTTTTTGCTTCCGATATCACAAAGTCCAGCCCCTGTACGTATAATGAAGTAGTTTTGCTACCTTATTAAATACGGTGGCTATAGATCTCGTCGCTAAAAAAGATCAAGCAGCAGCGTGCTATTGGGCCGTGAATTGTGGGCCTTTTCTGGTTTTGATTTGTTTTCTTTGCTTAGGCTAGGCCCTAGACTAAGACCCGGCTAAATTGGTTCAAATGAATTTATCCAATTATAGGCCCTTTTGGCATTGTGGCCCAATCCAGTTCAAATGAAATAACTATCAAACAAGCCAAGCCAAGCCAAGCTTGTGGTTTGGTTTATTTTTTTACTAATGTGCATAGTTATCAATATTGAAAACCAATTTAATTGAATTCCATCCACCAACCAACCGACTAGCTAGTTTGTTGCATATATTAATGGACTCCGACCAAACTACATACACATAACCCTTCCAGAAAATTCCTCCAAGGCCAACATATATATATATATATATATATATATATATATATATATTATACACACATGAAAAACAACAAATTCAATTGCATGCACCACGATATCAACAGATCATCACACGCCTGGTCCATATCATAATCAAAGAGATTCAACAAGCTGATATAGATGTGTGTCCACAGATCGAAACCATTTTCACTAATCGCTCGGCCACGGTAAAAATAAAAATAAAAATAAATAAAAAAAGTTACTGACCTGAAACACAGGCTCGCTATAAAGACCGGGAGTTATCTGAAGCGCTTGATCACCCGTTCCGTCGCTAAAAGCCCACGTCCGGCAGACGGTGAGGCCGGCGGCCCTGGCCTGATCGAACACCTCCGTCACCTTGTGCCTCTGATCCACCTGAGCCGCCACCGTCATCATCCAGTAGGAGTTGAATCCGTTGAAGAGGAACGGCGCACCGTTGAGGACAAACTGGGCATTTTTTGTCTGGACGAACGACGACGGTGGCGAGGACGTCGATGAAGTTATTGGATCGAATTGGATGCCGATCGTGCGTGTGGTGCAACAAAGAAGAGCAAGGAGAAGGATGGTAACGGAAGTTGTGATCAAATGGCTTGCATAGGGGAATATTAAGCTTGCCATTATGTGGTTTGGTTTTTTTTTTTATTTTCAGGGAGGAAGAGTAAGTAAGGCTTTGGTTGAAGGTACGTATGGGAAGGTAAGGTGGGGTATTTATACTTTATAGGGGTTTTTTCTTCGTTTATGAACCCTTTTGTAGGGGGAGGAGAGCTATATAGCATGCAACGAAAGATGGGTTGGGATGGGTATGAATTGTATGATATTTATGGTGGGGTTTAGGATATGAAAAATGGGTTTTTGATTTGTAGCTTTTGGGTAATTGATTATGGTGAGATACAAAGGGTGTGCTTATGGTGTATGCTTATTGATATAAAAGAGTGTGCAGTGGGAAGGTTCGTATTGGATTGCACCGGATCAAATTGGCGGTTGAAGCGGATCATACCAAATCGAATTGGACATGGTTCGATCCTTGGTCGTATGAATTTTATAAATACTGAAGAAAAATGGACCAATGTGACATTTGAACTGGACCAAATAAAACTAAAGCGTACCGAGTGCACTGTTGATCCGATTCTTAATTCTAAAATATATCTTTCACTATTTAATCGCAGTTCTCATAAATATGGTCTGATTCAAACCGAACCGTTGTAAAGCTATATTTTTCAATATTAGGCATACAAGTGTAACATTTGATGGCTGACTCCATCGCATGATATGCCCCAAAGCAAGACCCAAAGAATACAACGCCATTAAGCCACAAGGGTAGTCGTGTCGGCCGGATTGCTTGGCCCAACAACGATTTCGTGGTCCTCACATTAATTACCCATTATTTATTATAAAGGTTTGGAAAATTCTTCAAATTATGCTAATCTAATGGGAGACACGTGACATATATGGATCTCAGAATTATTTTCATATGAGGATTTAATATACAGTTGTTAAAGAGCTTTTGATTCTAAACTCTAAAGCGACAATTTTATTTTGATTGAAATTGTTCATTATGAGATATACATGTATGTATTTGCATTATTATGATACTCTTAATTGCTTTATAATTTAAAAATACTACCTATTATAGACTATTGGGTGATTTTTTTTAATGATTATATATTTTTCTATGTTGGTTGTATCATAATTATTATTCCAATTTAAATAGTGAAATTATAACTCATAGGTTTCTAAAATGAAGTCATGATCAGCACGTTCATTGATTATTACTTTGTTGCTAAAATACTACTAGTTCACAAGAAGTGGGGATTCTAACTACCTTTATTTTAGATTTTTACTATTCTTTATCAATCACTACATGTGATTAATTGATTAACAGCAGGATTACCCGCACATGCACAAGATAGGTTGATATTTTTTCTTACTTGTTTCGATAGATAACACGTAAGAAATGAAATCTTTTGGAATCTTGAAAGACTTGAGTTTTTCATGTCTTTTTTACCCCGATCGTTAGATAGTCCTGAGGTAAAGATGATCATGTCTTTCGAGATTTTTAAAATATTACATAACTACTATCAATTATTCTTGAAAAGTACTTCCGAGTTCTTTTTTCGACTAAGTATATATATTGGTGTGTGTTTTTGAACCATCACTTCTGTGTGCAATTTTTGAACCATGAATAATGACCTTTGTCAATAAAGATGTGGCTAAATTACATGTTTGGTCACTCAAATTACATGAATCTTTCACTTTAGTCACTGGCCACTAACTTTACGAATCATTTCACTGTTAGTCACGGGCCGTTAGTCTCGTCAACTCCGTTAACGCCGTCAGATTTTTGATGATGTGGCAAACAGAATGCTAACTAGGCTGCTGAGATGGAATTCATTATTATTATTATTATTTAGAACCAAACCCAATTCACCTTTCAACTCACCCGTGTCGGTCCTCCTCCTCCTCTCTGCTTCTCATTCTCCTTCCCCCTGTTTGCTTCTTCTCGGCATATTCTCTATCTCTCTTCTATCAAACTCAGACAACACAAGAACCTCAAATCGCACTCTCCTCCTCCCTCGATCTCAATCTGCCGCTGCTCTGCTCTCGTCGGCGTAGAGAGAACGAAAGGTAAATAATTTGTTCCTTCTCAATGCTTATTGTCTATTGATTTTCAGGGTTTTCGTTTGATTTCGAGTTTAAGGAGTTCAGATTTTGATTTTTAGGGTTGGTTTTGGAAGATTCCCCTAGATCTGGAAGAAGATATTGGGGACGACGACAACGGTGGCTGCCGATAATGATGGCGGCGATCAGGAGAGGAGGCTGTAGTGACTGGTCTTTGCGAGATGGTGGCGGCTCTAAATCTTTGTTGTAAATAATTCATGGATTTCTTCCCCAGACAATCGAGCATCGAGTCGTGTTCTCTGATAGAACTTCCAGCGGGGAGAGCTGAGCCACCGCTAGCGATGGAGAGACGGCGTCAATTGCAAGCGGGAGTGGGGCCTGAGGTTTCTCATCTTTGATGGGGGCGGTGGTACATGACCACGCTGAGGGAGCTGGACATTGTGACGGATGGTCGATGCTTGACTTGGTTGCGATTCAGAGTCGAGGAAACAGGAACCTCGCCGACTAGAAGGGGAGGTCGATGGCTTAAACTGCATCGGTGGCTGATTGATGGCGAAGGCGACGCAATGGAGACTGGGACGCCGAGGATTTTCTTCCTCAAGTGGCATGGGTGCGGTGGGTTTTCCTACCCGGGGAGCGATGGTGATTGTTGAGAATGAGGCATTATTGTTTTGTTTTATTTTTTTTTTTTAAATTCACAGGTCATTAGGTTATCAGACTAGTCACCATTCCGTTTGCCACGTCATCAAAAATCTGACTGCGTTAATGGAGTCTGACGGAGACTAATGGCCAGTGACTAACGGTGAAACGATTCGTAAATTTTGGTGATCAGTAAGAAAGAAAAGTAATTCGGGTGAGAAACGTGAAAGATTTATGTAATTTGAGTGACCAAACGTGTAATTTAGCCATAAAGATGTTTATAGAAACAAAGCACAATGTATATTTGAAACTATTTAACTGTTATAGACTCAAAGTGACTATACATTAATAATACAATTTAAGTGAACAAGAATTTGATCTACCAATTGTATCGTTGATCTTCCATCTAGAAGTCCAATATTCAAATAACTTCGATAACACATATCATTCTCATAAAGAAATACAATTGAAATTATTGAAGGTCTCCTTATTGTGACAAAACATATCTACGTACAGTTAATGAGTAGTTAATAAGTAAGTAAGTAATTAAGAAAGGATATCAACTAACCAACTGATGAGGTCACTTCATACATTATCCAATAATACTTAAAAGAAGATTGATTGAATTGAATATACACCTTGACTGGATTTAGCAAGAAATCCCAACATAAAGCACGTAAGTCACCTGAGTTCGCCGCGTGGACTATCGTGTATGAATCAAACTAACAAAATAGCCCAAGTTCGTTATCATTTCCTCCTTTGTCTCAAACATTGTCCCCTTTTAGCCGGTGTTATTTAAGCCAAGTCGCTCGGCCCGATCGGTAAAACCGTCATCTGGTCACAAAATTGGTTCGGAACAATTTAAAAGTCGCTCCGGTTTTATGTAGCGGTTGACGAGCGGCCGAGACGGTTAACTGTTCAAGCCGATCGAGCCGTTCGTCCGGTTTTTGCCATTCAAAAAAATTGCAGAAAATTGAAAATTGAAATAAACCAAAAACTTCGGGCTCTCAAATTGAATCCTTATTTCCATTTCACAATTTTGAAGAAAAGAGAAGAGTTCTGATTAAAAAATGTCCACTATTTATACTGATAACGTTTATTAGGTACCGGTTCTCTAACGGTTATTAAACGGTCTAATGCCGGTTGGACCATTAAAGTGCGAGCCATTCGTATTACGGGTCATACTCCGGTTCGGTTACGAAAACATTGACTTTTACAACGTAAAAGTATACATGTCCCCTGCAAGCTTCAACCTTAATTTCCACGAAAGGAGAAAGCTAGAAGAAACCCATCTCGTCCTCGTTCGCCATTTTTGTTCTCTTTCGATCAATATATTTCAATCTCTTAATTGCTAAGGGATAATGATTCCCCACGCATAGGCCTTCTGTTTTGTTTTCTCTCCATGTATGATGAAGAATATGTGGCCAGGTAGGCCATAGTGCTAGTGCATGCACACGTTTGCAAGGATATGCTTGATTTGCACGGCATATATATATATATAGACCAAAGAAGGAACAGTTTCCCATTGTCGACGTGGTTCTAAGATGAAGAAAACGACCTTATGTATGTATCTACATGGCGGTTTAGTTATTCGACCGACGAACTTAGCTTTTTTGGGGGAATCCTGTTTTGAAACGCCACTTTGCTTTACGTCGGCCGATGAGTCAGTCGATGACAACGCGCGCGACGACGACAGTCGGTCGACCCCTTGGGCGGTTGGATTGGGCCGCCACTTTGATCGACGTTTGGGTTGGGCGTGTACGTGGCCGACCGAACAAGGTCACATCCAGACATCCTCACTCACACGTGGCTTTACAGTTTACTGTGACATAGATATGAGCCCAGGCGAATAAACTTTGGGCTTGTGAAGAGACAATTGTGAGGGATATTCAGGCTTATGCATATTTATGGGCCTGTGACATAAGGTTAGGTTTGGTTGTGAGCCCAGGCTACGATACGGGCTCAGAACCGAACGGGTCTGTTATTCAAGTTTTGGCCACCCCATGCACACCAGCAGTGCACCACTATATATACAACAAGTAGTCTCGGAAAATGGATGGAGTCGGTCGGGGGAGTATTGAAACCGAAAGAGTTTTAGAAAGGGAAGATATATAGAGAGAAAGTATGCAAGGCAAACGAAGGGAGATGGCGGCTTCTTCTGTGTTGCTGGTGCTTCTGCTGCTCACGGGTGATGTTGTTGCGAAGAGCAGGTTCAACAGATGTTACGATCAGTGCATGGCCGGCTGTACCTCAGGAGGCGAAGATTGTGAGTATGTATGTTATTTCAAGTGTATCAAATCACCAGCTCAAGGTCATTCCAAACCACAAACTCCACGGACCAATGAGTTGGAGACTCATCTTCATCATCACTAGCTCATTGTTTGTGATTGTATTTTTGTTTCAACCTGGTCCAAGGACCGTCATAATAATAATAATATAATGAAATTATGATTCAAATTATCATACGGATTCGATCTCTTGGTTCATCCAACTACATCCATTCACTCATTCTTTTGGAGAACTATCGAATCTTCCAACAACTTGAATCATCGTAGACATATCTTCAAGGCACGATCTATGAATTCTATCATCATGTATACTAGTGGTTAAATACTCAGAGAGGATGCTCTAGATCGCAATGTGGTTGTTGTCAAATGGGTTGCCAAATCAAGAATATTGTTAAGTAGATATAGATATGATGGAAGGAAGGAAAAAAGGAGGCCGATCAAGAGACCGACCTAGTGGGATCGGATATGGTTTTGATCACATATAGCACCTTCTACAAGAAGGTGATTGTAGGATGCATAAATAATCATCGAATTATGTGTTGAATGTTTCGCAATTGTTGGATGAGCCTTCTTATTGATGAATTATGAATGCCATAACTTAAGAAATTAAAGAGAGGGTGCTTGCATGGAGGAGAAGTGGAAAGTGTTACAGTTGAAGTTGGGAGGATACGTTTTGAAGCCATTTAATTTTACACCGTTGTGGATTTTCATGCATGCACGCTATACTCGCCACGTAGAGAAACTAGCCTTCCCACTGGATTCTGGTCGAAAGATGTAATTAAACTCCTAATAAGTGCACACCGGTTAGATGATGGGTTTTAATTTGTGAGATAGAATGTTACATTCAAACTTAAAACACAAAACTCAAAATAATAATGGGTAGCATAGAAAATAACCAAGGAATGTTGCATTTCATTCATGGTATACCCTTATCGAGGAAAATTCATATAAATGTTCACTTCCTTTCGAATTAGATAGAGGCATAGGCCATAGGGCATAGAGCAAAGAAACAATGAAATATGTCACTTTTCATCTTTGCATTGAATATCAACCCCTGCGCTCAATCATCCAACCTAAGTGAGAAAAGAAAGAAAAGATGATTATCATGTTTTTTAAGTAAAAGGGATGCCAAGCTAATTCTAATTAAAAGGATGGCTAGCTGAGGGATGTTAAATAAACTGAAGGATAAGCCCAATATAAAGGTTGGAGAAATAGAAGGGGAAAACAAAAACAAAAAAACTGCAAATTATTTTTATTGGTATAAGAAAAGTGCAAGGAAAATAATTCTAATTAGAAGGATGGCTAGCTAAGGGATGTTAAATAAACTGAAGGATAAGCCCAATATAAAGGTTGGAGAAAGGGGGAAAACAAAAAAAATCTGCAAATTATTTTTATTGGTATAAGAAAAGTGCAAGGAAAATAATTCTAATTAAAAGGATGGCTAGCTATGGGATGTTAAATAAACTGAAGGATAATCCCAATATAAAGGTTGGAGAAATAGAAGGGGGAAAAAAAAGCTGCAAATTATTTTTATTGGTATAAGAAAATTGCAAGGAAAATAGTATAATGGTAGTGTTGATGTGAATTGAATCGGATTATCAACCGCTACGACTGAAAATTAAGGGTCTCGTTGTCCGGTCAGCGAGTGGGATCTAGGGGTAACGCCCTGGTGGGGTGCGAGGGCAACGCCCCTAGCCCGCGGTGTATGGGCTCAATGTTATTGGGGTTTGTGTTCTGGGCCTGGTCTGTAACTATTTCTCCTTTACCAAACTGGATTAGGATTAGACTTAGGAGAAGTACTATAAATATTTCTCATACTCTTCTACAATCTGCATCTTCTAATGTATAGTGAAACTGACTCTCTACTACCCATAGGCTAATTAACACACATTGTATTAGTGAACCACGTCAATCATGTCTCGTATATGCACTTTCGCCTTTTCTTGCATTGTCGAATCCTACAATTTTCCAATCCACAGAGCAAGAGTAGCAAGCAAAATCCCTTATTTCATTCCAAGAAATACGTTATATTTTTACATTATGCCTTGTATTTTGGCTTCGATACAATGAATGTATAATCTTTGTCAATATTGAGAGATATTATTTAGGTGTCGTGTAAGAGAATACGAGTATATTACAACAAAAACTAAGTACGTACATCGATCTTAAATATATATCTTGATACCTTTAATGTTGAGGAAGGTATTAAGGTAGCTTTTTATAATCTTGTCTAGTGATCATTACTTCAAAGATGGATATTGTTATGAAATCAGTGAACATACATGTATAGCTTTACCCCCGAATCAAGCTATAGCTAAAAAGATGAATATGTGGTGATCAAATGTTGACCACGTCTATAATAAAATATATTAATTAATTTCATAATTTGATCGATCACAATTTATCGAATATCTCATTGCCAATTTGCCATGGGAAAAGGTAGTGTCTTTCATAGATGAGGGCTCTTCCCTACATAATAAGTGATTAATTAAATAAATTATCTTAGGGTAAAGGGGTTAGAATTTATCATTAGGGCTGTCTACCTAGCTACCTGCCCTCGTTAGCATACCCATCATGGCCTTTTAGCGAGCGTTGGTGCTTTGAATTTATTACAATTCCAAAGGTTATTATCATAGACGGACGTTCCGAATGTTAAAATCGACATAGTTGATAATACTAATCGAGTAATGTATACTACCATTCAATATAGTACTCAAAAGTCAAAAATGACATTTTTTTAAAGTATAGTCGGAGACGCTTCCATGCATCCACACTTTCTCAACATACCCTGGAACAAAGTTGTTCACAAGGCGAGTATGACAAACATGTCTTACATATCTTTTCAACACTTGTCGTGACTCTCTCATAAATGAATAAAAAACATGTTGACAAAAGTATTCGAATTCGAATGTGAATATAAAGTTCAAAATGAACATATACAAGTCTAGCATTAACAAATTTTGTGAAGCACCGTACCATTTGTATTCCCAACTCCCAATAATATAATGGACCATATTCTCACACAACGTATATAACATAGCTTCTACGACATAGAGATGAATGTAGTGTGAAAACAATGGGAAGATGATGAAGAATTGCCGAAGAATATCCAATTTTGTTTTTGGGTGTGGATATATAATTATATATCCAATCAATTAATGTAAAGGCAAGTGCAAGCTTAGTCCTAAAGAATGGCTCTTAATTAACTAGCTACTAGGAAGGAGGGCCTTGGGGTTATACAAATTTAAGAGAGGGAAATCCCATCCCATCCCAAGGAAGGTTTGATGGCCTCCTCGAAGACTTAAAAAGGAAACGTAAAATTTCAATGGTAAAGACTCACTAAAGTCAGGAACTGAGGAAAGTAGTAGTAAGAACTAAGAACATCCCATCCCATTCCCATCCCTTCCCTTATTTATGGAGCCTAACCGATCGCATTTTGTGGAGCTCGTTTCCTTCGAGAAATGCCCTAACTATATATATTCTATTCTAGCTATGCCGTATTTTTAGGTGGGGGATTTCAACTTCAAGCAGGAAGCAAAGGAGCCGATTTCTTCTTCTAATTTGCGCCATCAATGGTATTGAGCGTGCAACAAACAAGCAAGCAAAGGCGCCATTCACGCAAGCAGATCGCTTAATACCATTATTATTTGATTAATTAATTCGCACAAGTTGAGGTTAATTATTATTATTATAATTATCATATAATATGGAATAAATAAGACCCGACATGCATGCCCTGACTGACTGACTGACACAATTAGCTAGCTAGGCAGGATTTTTGTTCAGTTTTCGCCAGTAATTAATTGTCTTTACAAAGAGTATCGTGAAATGATGAGACTGACTGAGAGCCAACAATATTATTATGCATTATCATTCATTCCGCTCAATACACAGATCGACCATAATAAGCTTTGATTTGATTGATTTCAAGCGGATGGAAAAGGTGATCGATCGATGGAATGTGTTAAAAAAAAGGGTTACGTTGGAAGGAATTGCCGGATCGGGTCGGGGCTGAACACAACAGATCATGAGGGAAATTAAAGCAGCATATATAACCACTAGCTTGCTTGCTTGCTTGCTTTCACTTTTTGCTTTTTGGGGTTTTGAGTTAAGATGAGTGATTTCAGCATGTTGATGCCTCTTATTATAGTTAATTAATGACAACATACATATATATATATATGTCTCTAATGTCGTGCTCTGCTCTGCTCCAGAGATCTTAATTAATTGTAACCATTTTCCATTCCATTTCTTGCCCTTTCTTCGTTTTTCTGAGCGGATATTTATCTGTATATGAAAATTTAAATCAACATAGCATTACAATAAGTAGCATATGATACGTACATCTTTATCTACCATATGGATATAGAGTATCAATTAATAGTTCATAGTAAATTGAGCATGAGAAAGAGGTATTGAAATGAAATCACAAATAATGTTAGAACTCGATACTAGCTAGCTAATGAGGTTATAATGGATAAAACTTATGGTATTCAAAATACTAATACGATAAGTAGCATGAGATTCATTGATTGACAAAAATAGGAAAAACAAATTATTTGAGAACATAATAAGAATAGTACGAGGCAAAAAGATATACATATATGGCAGGTACTTATGTTGTTCTAACATGATGCATGGCGTAATATGCACACAAATTTACAAGCAAATGAATTTACATAATCCCGATTTGTCAATAAGAAGAGAATTTGTATGAGCGGCGTGAAATTGAATAATATTTTCAGCGTCCAACACCGAAATTGACTTGCAATGTTGTATAAGTCAAACTTTATATAGTTTCTTAATTTTACCTGGAAAATGACATAGATGTGTATGTACCTGTTTTGAGCTTTTCAAATTCTCAAAACAGTTAAGTTTGTTAATCAGTTTGGCCCTAAAGTGAAACCAAAAATGTCTATATATGACCAAAACAATAACAAGTCCAAGTTAGGCTGAATTGATTATTTTGTGGGTCTCTCATTTCAAACAGAAACATTATTCTAGCTTGATTTATGGGGCAAAATCAACACATTCTCTTTGGTCAAACTCAATTACCAACTTTAGATCAAAGTAATACCTATAGCAAAAGCCATAATTTGCGCCATGCACGGCTGAGATGATGAAGGTGATAAAAACAAAATGGAAATTCGAAGAAGAGAAAATGGAATAATTAATTAATATTAAACAATAAGGGAAAGTCCCCTCTTTTCTCTATATAAGCCCCATAGTTGAAACCAAAAACCCAACAAGAGCAATACAACAACATCATTCTTACATCTTTGAGAAGTTGCTAGCTTGGGAGCCAGAAGCAATGGGAAATTGCAAAATGGGAGGTCTAATTCAGACCTTTTTCATTACTTGGGTACTGTTTTGCTCCATTAACATTTCCTTCTCTCGGCTTGGCGCCCAAGCAGCTAGCATCAATCCAAATTACAAAGAAGCACTCGCAAAATCATTGTTGTTCTTTCAAGGACAGAGGTCAGGGAGGCTCCCTCCTTCCCAGCAAATCACTTGGAGGTCCCATTCTGGCCTCTCCGATGGTCGCCTTGCTAATGTAAGAGATGTCCTCCTCCTATTGTGTACTTCACTTCTTGCATGGAATTTCAATTCCTCGTGTTGACGACGAACTCGTTGCTTTATGAATAATTAATATATGTCCACATATTTATATACAACATGAAACACACAAGGCCATCGATGATCAGCATTGTTAATTAGTACGTAGATTTGCAAAAACGTGTGCATCACTCTCTTAACTTTGCTTCTGTTCATATACATACCAAAAGCAACCAACCAACCAAGTAATCAGTGTTTTCACATTATAGGTTCTATTTAGCTATGCTGAAGAATATTGTATTAGGACTATAATTGCCATAATTTAACTTGGTGCAAGAGTGGGCATGCGTAAAACTCTAGGGTCCATGTGGTAATTATGGCTGCCAAATGTGTTAATGAATAATAAAATGGAAAAATGAGAAGATTGTGGGTCTTGGTTTCTTGATCACGGTCCCAACCAAGAAAGGGATAATTGGTGCCTTTCGGCGGGATTTAATCAAATCTCCTTTCCTTTCTTTTGCCTTAATAATATATATATATAAGAATTTCAAGAAATCATACATTTCTTAGGTGAAAATATAAGAAATCGACGTGGTAATTTCATACAAACATAACATTTACTGTAACCTGTGCTGTGAGTGTGCTGTAGTTTAACCGATGCGGTAATTAAACAGGTAGATTTGACCGGCGGCTACTACGACGCCGGAGACAACGTGAAGTTCAACCTCCCGATGGCCTTCACCACAACAATGCTGTCCTGGAGCACACTGGAATACGGCAAGAGACTGGGCCCCCAGCTGCCCAACGCCCGGGCCGCGATCCGCTGGGCCACGGACTACCTCCTCAAATGCGCCACCGCCACCCCGGGCAAGATCTACGTCGGCGTCGGCGACCCCAACGCCGACCACCGCTGCTGGGAGCGGCCGGAGGACATGGACACCGTCCGGTCGGTTTACTCCGTGTCTCCGTCGAACCCGGGGTCCGACGTCGCAGGAGAGATGGCTGCGGCCCTGGCGGCGGCTTCCTTGGTGTTCAGGAGCTCCGACCGGCAGTACGCGGGCTTGTTGCTTAGGACGGCGAGGAAGGTGTTGCAGTTTGCGTTGCAGTATCGTGGTGCTTACAGTGATAGGCTTGGTTCCTCCGTTTGCCCCTTCTATTGCTCGTATTCTGGCTATAAGGTAAATTGGAGGTCGATCGATCGATCTTCTTCCAACATTAATTATATGTGATGAGAATTATATCATTGTTCAAAAGATAGAGTGCTTATGATGCATTTTTATAGAGATTGAGATTGCATTTTATAGAGATGATGATGATGGTCAATAACGATAAAAATTACAAACAACATATTAATTAATAGAGTTAGCTAGGTTAATCCGATTAATTCACGAGTTGAATCGGTTTGGTTCTACATTAATTTTATTTTCAGGATGAACTACTGTGGGGAGCAGCTTGGCTGTTTAGGGCAACCAATGAGGTCCAGTACTACAACATCATCAAGTCCTTGGGAGCTGATGACCAGCCAGATTTGTTCAGCTGGGATAACAAATATTCTGGTGCTCATGTTCTGCTATCCAGAGTAAGCACACAATTATTAAGTAGTCGAATTTGGTTGGCTTTTCCCCTGACTTTTGGTAACAATTTTGATCTTTTATGGCTATGATTAATTCAATTGTGGCAGAGAGCATTAGTGAACAATGACAAGAACTTCCAGCAATACAAGCAGGAAGCTGAGAATTTCATGTGCAAGATTCTGCCCAACTCTCCTTACTCAAGTACCCAATATACACAAGGTATGTATGTTTGTTGTTTACAGTTTACACACACAAGAAAAAAAATTCAAGCCCAATAGGTTTCGCTTAATTCACATTGTCGGATATTTATTTATTGTCAATTTTATATATTTTGCTGTTTTATTTTGGAATGCAGGAGGATTGATGTACAAGCTACCACAGGACAATCTTCAATATGTGACATCCATATCATTTCTGCTCACCACTTATGCCAAGTACATGAAATCAACTAAAACTCCTTATACTTTCAATTGCGGGAGCCAAGTCGTGAATGCAAACTCCCTCATTTCCTTGGCAAAACGGCAGGCAAGTCACAATCATTTATCTCCACAAGAAAATAATATACGATTTGAATTATGTACGCAAAAATTTAGTGAGACCTATCGTATAATTACAGTTTGCGTCTACGTTCTCATGCAGGTGGATTACATCCTAGGGGTAAACCCTATTAGAATGTCCTACATGGTTGGCTACGGACCAAACTTTCCGAGGAGGATTCACCACAGAGGGTCCTCGCTACCATCAAAGACGAGCCACCCACAAGCTATAGGTTGCAGTGGCGGGTTCGAGCCTTTCTATTCGTCTTCAAACCCTAATCCCAACATATTGACTGGAGCCATTGTCGGAGGGCCCAATCAAAATGATGGCTTCCCAGATGATCGTTCGGACTACAGTCACTCAGAACCTGCTACGTATATCAATGCCGCCATTGTTGGCCCTCTCGCATATTTTGCAGGGACCTTGAGGAGCTAGACCAAAAGAGTTGTGTTAGCTAGTAGCTTCAATGGGAGCTAGTGCCCTAAAATTAAGATCTCAATGTTATGCTGACCCTGAAACTAGGGTCTGTGCCACCCAACAAATAGGGTGAGGCATTTTAGGTGGTTGTGTTCTGCTTGTCTTGTTACTACCGTCCAAAGTAGGGTTGTTATGGTTATATACATTTGGTTTAAGTAATTTTACTTTGTAGGTCAATTATCATTCTCTTTTCCTACCACAACCATAGAATTTATATGTTAAGCTTTGCATTTTGGCTTTTCCTCTTCACCATCTTTTAGGAGACGATTTATAGTTGACTAACAAATGGGGAAGATGTTAAGCATAGCCAGAGAGAACTCGCAAAATTACAAATTCGAGCATTGCTATAGTTAACGAATAAGAAACATAACAAAAATTTCAATAAGTTCTATCATATTATTTGGACCGTTGCACACCAGAACACAGACCATATCGAAGAACAAATATTATCATTTGCTCATTTTCCCGCCCAAAATCCGCACAATCAAGGACAAAGGACCAAAATGTTCAAAATGACTTTTCCTTGGTACATATCAAACAATTGACTTTATTCTATCCGTTCCAATGGGGCAGCTAATAATAAGAGCGTGTCGAAAGCTGAATTCCTATTTAACGCCCTAACTTTTTAAATTTAACGCCCTAAAATTACCCAATTTGACATTTTTGCCCTCAATTTATTCCCATTTCCTAACCAAATTTCACTCTAGATTCTTCTCCGGTCGCCGCGGTTCACCCAAGACTCCCATCACCGCCCTTCATCCTACAGAGTCTTCGCCCATCACCGCCGTAGTCGTTCCGCTGGCCCCTCGGGATTCCTCGTGACAGCACGTCCGACAACCCATTTAACCTAACCAGGCATGTTGCAGGTGATGGCCGCCAACCATCCCTGTTCTTGTCAAGCAGAGTGTACAAGAGGAAGAACAGAGTCATTCTACAGAGCTACACTCTGCTTAAGGAAGAAGACGAAGTGCAGAGCATTGGGCCTGAAGTTGTATCGGGCTTCCTTTCACCCGATCCAAAAGAGAGTAAGGCCGTATATAAATAAGTGAAGACGACGGCGTTTGGTTCCTCTTCAGTATCGTCCAAGTAGCAGCTTCATACTTAGACACTTGTCAGTTTGTAATTGGTTAGTTTAGCCTGTTAGTTACTAATAGTCGTTGGAACAGTAAATTAGGAAATGTAATTAACTGACTCTGTATATATTCTGCTCCACTTGGAATGAGAAGGCATTCTGCCAAATTCCTCCAAACCTATCGCTGCTTTCTTTGTGTTTACAAACCCTAGCAGCTCTCAGATTTACTTTCTTCTCATGGTATCAGAGCCTGGTTAAGGCATCTGCATACCTCTTCTTCCTTCTTTGATCTTACCCTTTTTCTTCTTACACTTCGCATTCCGCCATGGCTGAAGGAGAGGCTTCGGATTCTGCTGAGAAGGAGGTTCCACCTCCTCCTTGTTACGAAGACCCCTATTCCAACCCGTTCTACTTGGCACAAAGCGACAACTCCTTTCTACCAGTCATCGGCTTCAAGTTGACTGATGATAATTACCTTCTTTGGAGTGAGTCCATGGAAGTTGCTCTGCGCACGAAGAATAAGCTGGGTTTTGTTCTCGGAACCATTCAGGTACCTCCCTTGACAGATCCGTCTTATGGAACTTGGGATCGTGTGAATGGTACTGTTGTTTGCTGGATTAGGAACTCTGTGTCTGAAGATATTGTTCCTAGTCTTCGAAATATTGGAATTGCATTAGAAGCTTGGACTTATCTGAAATCTAAGTTCAGCCAAGGAGATTCCATAAGAATAGCTAATTTGCAAGAGAAAATTGACCTGGCTAAACAAGGAAATCAAACTGTTCGACAGTATTTCACCAATTTAAAGTTGGCTTGGGATGAATTGAAAACCTATCAACCTATACCCTATTGTGATTGTGCTGCTGGTACTTATGCTACTGTTATGAGGTATGAAGAAAGGGGAAGAGTGATTCGTTTCTTGTTGGGTCTGAATGAGAAATACCAGCAAGTGAAAACTCAGATGCTTATGCTAGATCCTCTCCCAGATCTGGATAGCATCTATCGTTCTGTTGTTCAGCTTGAAAGGCAACTTGATGGTGCTAGTGCCAATACTGGGAAATCTGAAGAAGCCATAGCACTAGCCACCGCTCTTGCAGCCTCCAGGACTCAATACAATCAACCAAAGGACAAAGGTCAAGCTGACCATCAACCAGGAGGACTGTTTTGCAGATATTGCAAAAAGGAAGGCCATGTCAAGGAGGACTGCTGGAAGCTTAAGAGAAAGAATGGTCTACTTGGAAACAACCCAGGCAGAAGTAACAATGCAGGCCGAGGGTTTGCTGGTTCTGTTGATGTGAATGCACCAGAGGGCAATCCTTCAGGAGGAGCTGGTAGCTACTCTCCTACCAGTCCCGTCAGTCAACAGGAACCACGTTCTCCAACCTTTACTGGATTTACAGTAGATGAACTTACAAGACTCAAACCTTTGCTTCAACCTGCTTCTAGTTCTCATGGATCCTCTCAGGCCAACGCTGTGATCACTAGATCACAACCTATGTCAGGTATACTATCCCTATCAACTTTGACACATAGAAACAGTGAGTGTGTGTGGGTGTTAGACACAGGAGCAAGTGATCACATCATTTGCTCCATTTCTTTGTTTCTGAGATGTAAGAAGGTGCATGATGTCTCAGTTACCCTTCCAAATGGTCAACAAGCATCTGTCACACACTTAGGGGTAGTTAAACTTCCTTGTGGCATATTCCTCACCAATGTCCTCTTAGTGCCCTCTTTTTCCTATAATCTGATTTCAATTAGTCAGCTTACCAAAAACAGCCCTGTCTCATTGTTGTTTCAATCCACTTTTTGCTCCATTCAGGACCTTATCTCTCGACAGAGGATTGGTTTAATCCCAGTAAGTAGAGGACTTTACCTTCTTGGAGATTCCAGTGGCCCAGGAGAGACTTGCAACCCACAGATTTTTGGAGTGAGCACTAGTTCAGAGAGTTCCAGTTTATGGCACAAACGGCTAGGCCATCTTTCTTTAGATAGATTGAGAAAAATTAAACAAACTTGTACTGAAGTTGAGTTACCAAACAGTTTGGATTGTGAAGTTTGCCACTTGTCTAGGCAAAAACGTTTACCATTTCCCAGAAGCACTTCTTATTCCAAAGAACCCTTTGATCTAATACATTGTGATATTTGGGGGCCAGTTAATGTTGTTTCTCATGATGGTTTTCAGTATTTTCTTACTGTTGTTGATGACCATAGTCGCTGCACTTGGTTGTATTTGATGAGTCACAAGTCTGAAGTTAAGAGTTTACTTCAGTCTTTCTTTGCAATGGTTGAGACTCAGTTTAGTAGGAGGATAAAAGTACTGCGTTCAGATCAAGGACAGGAGTTTAAGATGGTTTCCTTTTATCAGCAGAAGGGTTGCATTCATGAAATGAGTTGTATTCATACTGCTCAGCAGAATGGTAGGGTAGAAAGGAAGCACCAGCACATTCTCAATGTGGCTAGGGCTTTGAAATTTCAGTCAGGCTTACCAGTCAGTTTCTGGAGTCATTTTGTGATGCATGCCATCTATCTTATTAACAGAACTCCCACTCCTGTCCTGCACAACAAGTCACCTTTTGAGTTTGTTAAGTATACCTCCTGATTACAGCAATCTTAGAGTGTTTGGCTGTCTTGCTTTTGCCACAAACACTGAGAGTCACAAACCAAAGTTTGCACCTCGAGCTGTCAAAGCAGTTTTCTGGGATACACTTTTGGTGTCAAGGGTTTTAAGTTGTATGATCTGGCCACTCATTCAGTGTTTACCAGCAGGGATGTTGAGTTCAATGAGTCTGAATTTCCTTTCTTGCCTTCTTCTGACAATACAACTACACCTGCAACCACTTCTTCCCCAACAGATCATCTTCCTCCCTTCTTTTTTGATGATGATCTCCCTCTTCCTCAGGATCACAATGTCCATGAGACCTCTGATCCTGATTATTTACCCTCACCATCACCTTCTCCTGTCCCCTCACCTCCTGCCTCCCCTATACACACACCTCCTCCAGTACCCCCTCTTCCTTCTTCCCCTCCTACTCTCCCCATTGCTCTTCGCAAAGCCCCTAGAGTAACCAGACCTCCCAAACACCTTGATTCTTTCCACACTTCTTTTCTCACTGCAGCTAGTTCATCTTCCTTTGATGACAAACTCTTGTATCCTCTTTCTCACAGTCTCTCTTACTCTCATTTGTCTCCCTCCCACAGACATTATACTCTCTCCATTTCTATGTCCACAGATCCTCAAACTTATGCTCAAGCAGCTTTACATCCCTGCTGGAATCAAGCTATGAAGGAGGAGGTTACTGCCTTGGAGGCTAATGAAACTTGGGACATTGTAGACAGACCACCTAATGTTGTTCCTATTGGGTGTAAATGGGTCTATAAGACTAAATTCCTACCTGATGGTGCCATTGAACGTTTTAAAGCCAGTGTTGTTGCAAAGGGGTACACCCAAACTTATGGAATTGATTTTGTTGATACATTCTCTCCGGTTGCCAAAATCAATTCTGTCAAGCTTCTTTTAGCTATTGCAGCAGCCAAGAATTGGCATCTCCATCAGATGGATGTGAGCAATGCCTTCTTGAATGGTGACTTAGAGGAGGAGATTTATATGGAGCTTCCCCCTGGTTTGAGAGAGCTAAGTCACCTTCAAGGTAAGGTTTGTAGATTGAAGAAATCACTTTATGGGCTTAAGCAAGCCAGTCGTCAATGGTACCTTAAGCTTACTGAGTTCTTGACTAAGCTTGGTTTCCAGCAATCATATGAAGACTATTCAGTCTTTAAGACCTCTACAGTTGTGTTAGTCATCTATGTTGATGACATCATTGTGGCAGGACCAAATTTGGAGGACATTCAGTCTGTTAAGACACAATTGCAGAAGGGTTTCAAGGTTAAAGACCTGGGGAATTTAAAGTATTTCTTAGGTTTGGAAATTGCTAGAACTCAGGCTGGGATTTCTTTATGTCAACGAAAGTTTTGCTTAGAAATGCTTGAGAATGCAGACTTCTTGGAGTGTAAGCCAGCTAAAACTCCAATCAGCATGAAAGCTACATTATCTGCAGAAGATGGAACATTGCTTGATGATGGTTCAAATTACAGACATCTCTTGGGGCAATTGCAGTATTTAACATTCACTAGACCTGACATTTGCTTTCCAGTACAGCAGCTGAGTCAGTTTCAAGATCGACCAACTACTGTGCATCTCAAAGCCTTACATAGAATCTTGAGATACTTGAAGGGTTGTCCAGCACAGGGTCTATGGTTTTCTTCTTCATCCAGTTTACAACTAACTGGCTACTGTGATTCGGATTGGGCAACTTGTCCAGATTCGAGGAAGTCAATTACTGGGTATTGTACTTTCCTGGGGAGTTCTCTGATCACGTGGAAAAGCAAGAAACAGAGCACGGTTTCACGCTCATCCTCTGAAGCAGAGTACAGAGCAATGGCGCAGCTAGCTTGTGAGGTACAGTGGTTAAAAGCTTTTCTGAATTTCTTTGGAATTCCACATTCAAACCCAGTGAAAGTGAACTGTGATAACCAGTCAGCCATTCATATTGCGGAAAATCCCGTTTATCATGAGCGAACCAAGCACATAGAGGTTGATTGTCATGTTGTCAGGGAAAGGTTGAAATCAGGACTCCTAAATCTATTCCATTTGAATACCGAAAATCAGTTGGCTGACCTATTTACTAAGGGGCTGTCTGGTGATCGGTTTAAGTTTCTGCTCTCCAAGCTGGGTGTACATGATTTGTACTCGCCAGCTTGAGGGGGCGTGTCTAGCAGAGTGCACAAGAGGAAGAACAGAGTCATTCTACAGAGCTACACTCTGCTTAAGGAAGAAGACGAAGTGCAGAGCATTGGGTCTGAAATTGTATCGGGCTTCCTTTCACCCGATCCAAAAGAGAGTAAGGCCGTATATAAATAAGTGAAGACGACGGAGTTTGGTTCCTCTTCAGCGTCGTCCAAGTAGCAGCTTCATACTTAGACACTTGTCAGTTTGTAATTGGTTAGTTTAGCCTGTTAGTTACTAATAGCCGTTGGAACAGTAAATTAGGAAATGTAATTAACTGACTCTGTATATATTCTGCTCCACTTGGAATGAGAAGACATTCTGCCAAATTCCTCCAAACCTATCGCTGCTTTCTTTGTGTTTACAAACCCTAGCAGCTCTCAGATTTACTTTCTTCTCAGTTCCGTTACCCTTTGGCGATCGGAAATGTTGGATGGGGATTCCTGTTGGTTGGGGTTTACATTTAACGTTAGCAAGGGATAAGTTTTCCAATTTGTCATTTTGGTTTGAATTACTTGATAATTTATTATGTGATTTTATGGGTATGACTAGCAATGAAATTAGCTTTCGGTGGCGTCTAATGGCGGTGGCGGGTGATAGGGGCGGCGACATAACAGGTAATTTTTTTGTTGGAGGGCGACACGTGCGGCGACGGTGTGATCGGGCAGGAAGAATGAAGGAGACCCGACCCACGCCGCTCACCTCGCTGTCGATGTAACTCCTGTCGTTGCAAGGGTCGCCGATGACTTATGGATTTGCGGGCGACGGCGGGTTGTGTTTATGGGAAGGGAGCGAAGACAAGGTAAGGGCGGAGAATTGAGTTGGGCAGTGGGGTTTAGTTCAAGTTGAGGGTATAAATACTCTATTAAGGTAGGTTTAGAGCGATGAATTTTAAAGGCCAAATTCACCTGTATAGCCAAAACTGACGTTTTTGCCAAATATAGCCACTTTTGGAGAAATACCAGAAATAGCCACTTCCGTCCAATTGTTTGACGGTGTTAGTTAACGTGCTGACTGGACAAACGGACCATCCGACGTGGCTTTTTTTGTCAAACAAGTGAATTCCACGTGGAATAAAAAAAAAGACGAAACAGTAAATGTGTTGTTACGCCTCAACCACTTTCTATCTTTTTCATTTTCCCTTCCCTTTCCCCAAGTCGATATCCAGAGAAAACCCCTCTTCTCCAACGACAAACTACGACGCTCCGCCACTCCAGATCGGCGTTGGTAGTCGTCGACGACGAAAGCCTTTCCGATCCACGAACCCACCACGAGAAGCAAAACCCCTTTCCTCCTTTCCGATTCACGAACCCTAAATCCTTTCCGAGCCTCCCTCCATCGAATCGGCCATGCATCGCGGGGTTTCATAGATCCTCTCCACGTTCCGGCGACGCGATTCACTGTTGGTGAGGGGAAATCGACCATCGAGTACCAGTTCAACCCATTTGAATCCCAATCCAGTTCAAATCGCCTGTGCTCGCTCCCTCAGGTCGATCAATCGACGACCATCAGCTTCCTCCCGTCACTGCAAATAGCAGAGCAACCACCCAGCTTCCCCATCCAGGAGATTTAGTCGATCCGTGAGAATCGACATCATCACCGCTCACCGACGAGTAAGACCCAACAAATAGTAGAGGTGACTCGTCGCAGGTAGGAACTTCCTTCAGCGATTCCAGATTTTGAATTTCGGTAGTGACCTTGTGGGTCTGGCAGTGGCAGTGCATTTGGGAGTGGGTTTCGCGGAGGAAGCGGAAGCCGCCGTGGGAGGAAGGCAAACCCACCTTGGGAGGAGCTGTGCTGAAACTGTTATGTTTCCTAGGGATTGGCTGGAGGGGAATCGAGATGTAGCAGGCGGAGCTCTCGAAGGCGGCGGCTCTCAAGGATCTCCTCCACCCGTCACTAGTTGACTGGTCGTCGCTTCAATCGAAGCTGCCGCTAGGAGTGAGATTCTGAGAACTGGGGGAAAACGGTTGTTGCCGGACGGGTTTGAGAGTAACTAGATTGGAGGGATGGATTTTGTAGGCGACGGCGAGTGCAGTGCGGCGGAGCTGGGTTCGTCGATGAGTGTGGTGGGGCTGCTTCAATCGACGGAGCTTGGTTCGTCGAGGAGAGCGGCTGGGAAACCCTAAATCGGATGGAATTGGGGAAAGGAAAGAATAAAATTTCCAATTCTATTCACCTAATTTATGATAATTTTTTTTACCCATTAAAAATGACGTGGCATTCCACCTGTCAATGGATGCTGAGGTGGGAAGGAAAGACACGGTGAGGTGGCAGCCACATCATCTGTCCGTTAAATAGACTAACGGTGTCATTGACGCCGTCAAACTATGTAACGAAAATGGCTATATTTGTCATTGAACTTTCAAAATTCTTGCTATTTCTGGTATTTCTCCAAAAGTGACTATATTTGTCACAAACGTGAAAGTTTTGGCTGAATTTGGCCAATTTAAAAACTTGGGAGTAAAATAATAACTCTCGCAGAAAGTAGAGAGAGACCCACCGGCGACGCGGCCGTTGACGAAAATGGACGACGACGACTTACGGACTTAATGATGATGATATCATCACCACCATCTCTTCTCGAAGTTTGGCTCGCACTCTCTCGAACTCCATTCGACTCACAGCGTTGACGACTACATCGGATTCCGATGGCCTCCATAAGCGCAAGCGGCACTTCGTCGTCGTCTCTTCCGTCGCCGTACTCCCCTCCCCCGCCGCGGTGGACGCACGACGTCTTCCTCAGCTTCCGAGGCCGGGACACTCGATACAGCTTCACCGGGCATCTCCACGCAGCTCTGGTCCAGAAAGGGATCAGAGCTTACAAGGACGACAGAGATCTCGATCGAGGAGAAGCCATCGAGCCCGAACTGTTTAAGGCGATTACGGAGTCAAGGTTTTCGGTCGTCGTGTTCTCGAAGAATTACGCCTCTTCGCCTTGGTGTTTGGATGAGCTGGTCAAGATCGTTCAGTACAAGGCAGCGACGGAGCACACTGTTCTGCCCGTCTTCTACGATGTCGATCCATCGGAAGTTGCGGAGATGGAGGGAGTTTACGCGGCAGCGTTTGCCCAGCACGAAGTCCTGAACCCGGGGAAGGTGGAGAGCTGGAGGAAGTCGGTAGCTGAAGTTGCGCAATTAGCCGGATGGGATGCTCGAAATAGGTATGAATTTTGGAGATGATTATGATTTGAATTGAATGTTGGAAGGTTAAAATTTGAATTGCATGTCTATGAATGGGGTTTTTTTTTTAGAGAAATGTCTATGAATGGTTTTGATTGTTCTATTTGAGCAAATCAGTGCTTAATCTCCATCGATCTGCACTCCCTAAGAAATGTAGTCTTGTAAGCTCCAGCAGTTAATGGTATTAGATTCTTCAGGGTTCTACTTGGTTCATGATATAATCATGGTAGAGCATACATAACTTGAAATGAATACCTTGTTTTCCTGAATCGTAGTGGCAGTGGTGTACAGTTCAGCAGGTTATATAGAGCTCTGATTCTTTGCAAGGCCCATTGATTTTTGTCTTTCTGTTCTTGTAGGGACGAGTCAGAAGTAATCAAGGAAATTGTTGAAAGACTTTGGTTCAAGTTGAATCATGCGATCCCAATCATGAGCAATGCCTTGGTCGGTATGGATGCCCGGGTAGACAAAATTGTTAATGATTTGTTGGACGAAGAGTCGGTTGAAGTTCGCTTTCTTGGGATATGTGGAATGGGTGGACTGGGGAAGACAACTATTGCCAGAGTTGTTTATGATAAGATCCGTTGGCAGTTCGAAGGCTGTTGTTTCCTTGCGAATGTCAGAGAATCTTTCGAGAAACAAGGACCACTTCCTCTGCAGCAGCGGCTTCTTTCTGAAATCCTAATGCGACGGGGAGGAGAACTGTGGGATGCTGATAAAGCAATAAGTGAGATAAAGTATAATTTGCAGCGGAAGAAGGTGCTTCTTGTTCTTGATGATGTTGATCATCTTGAACAGCTTGAAATGTTGGCTGGAGATCATGAATGGTTTGGTCCAGGGAGTCGTGTGATCATAACAAGTCGAGATGGACACTTGTTGACAGCACATGGAGTTGATGAAACATATGAAGCAAAGACATTGAATGGCGATGAAGCTCTTATGCTATTTAGTTGGCATGCCTTCAAACAAGACTGCCCATTTACAGGTTATTCTGAGTTGTCAAATCGAGCTGTGGGTTACGCCAAGGGACTTCCCCTGGCTCTTAAAGTTTTGGGTTCTTTTCTGTATGGGAGGAATGTAAGTGCATGGAACAGTGCAATTGAGAGGCTGAACAAGATTCCAAACAGAAAAATTGTGGATGTACTTGAAATAAGTTTTGACGCTCTAGAGGAAACAGAGAAGAAAATATTCTTGGATATTGCTTGTTTCTTCAAGGGTATAGATAAACATGAAACAATAAACATACTTGATAGCTGTAGCTTTCATGCAGAGATTGGAATACAAGTTCTGATTGATAAATCCTTGATTAGTGTTTCACAAAATCGTTTGGCAATGCACGATTTGCTGCAACTTATGGGAAGGGAAATTGTTAGACGTGAGTCGCCTGAAGAGCCTGGAAAGCGCAGTAGAATATGGACGTATGAGGATGCATCTCATGTTCTGACAAAAAACTCGGTGAGCACTTAGGTGCAGAGCACTTGCACAATTTTGTTGATGCTTAAGTTTTTTTTCCCCCTCTTTTTTTTGGGTTTGTATGAAAACTAGTGTCATTGTATTTTTATATAGTTTGTCTTGTGATAATACTTATGCTTTTCTTATTTATTGGTTTTGGGCAATAGGGAGGTGAAGAAGTAGAAGCAATCTTCCTAGACCTTCCTCAACCAAAGGATGCAAACTGGAATGTGGAAGCCTTCGCTAGAATGACGAAACTTAGACTACTCAAAATCCGTAATGTGAAGCTTAGCAAAGGACCTGCATTTCTTTCTAATGAGTTGCGTTACCTTGATTGGCATGGTTACCCCGCAAAATATTTGCCTTCAAGTTTCCATCCAGAAAAACTTGTTCGACTTATTTTGCATCACAGCAAGATAGAACAACTCTGGTTCGGCATCTGGGTAAGCTTTTCCTCTTCCTTCTCTTTCTACTCAGACTGCAGAGTTCTTTGTTTCTTCTGTTGCTGGAACATAAAAGTAATGTCAATATCTGCTGCTTGTTTCCTCTTTTACTTAGGCATTTAAAGATTTGAAAGTTCTAGAGCTTAGGGGCTCCAGGAACTTCACTAGGATGCCGGACTTCACTGAGATTCCAAATCTGGAGAGGTTAGTGCTGACAGACTGTACAAGGTTGTCTGAGATTCACTCCTCCATTGGGCATCTCAGGAAGCTTACTTCTCTCAGTTTGTTAGGTTGCTTAAAGGTTAGGAAATTGCCAGAAATTGTGGTACCTATGGAATGTTTGGTGGAACTTATATTGGACGAGACTAGCATTGAGAAACTGCCGATCTCAATTCACAATTTAGGCAGCCTAGCGGTATTGAGCCTCAGATTTTGTAAGAACCTCAGAAGTCTTCCAAGCAGCATAACCACTTTAAAATCCCTTAAAAAACTAGATCTCTCAGGCTGCTTAAAACTGAAAAGGTTTCCAGATATAGAGTCTGGTTTTATATCTTTAGAAGAACTCTTCTTAGATCAGACTGGAATTGAAGAACTCCCTTCCACAATTCAACATTTGTCAGGCTTAGTTCTCTTGAGCCTCAGATTTTGTAAGAGCTTCAGTGGCCTCCCTAGCAGTATAAGTCGTTTGAACTCCCTTAGAAGGCTTGATCTATACAACTGCTCAAAGTTAGACACGTTTCCTGATATTTTGGAGATAATGGAAGGCTTACGGGAGCTTTGTTTGGATTGGACTAACATCGAGATTCTGCCACCATCCTTTAACAAGTTGATTGGCTTGGAGTTGTTGAGCATTAAAGGTTGTGGAAACCTTAAAGATATTAGTAGCAGCATCAGCGGTTTGAAGTCCCTGAAGACTCTTGATATCAGATGGTGCTTTGGACCGAATTTCAGAGTGAAACAGCCAAAATCTAAGATATCAAAGATGTTGATCCAGAGCACGCCAAATTCTATGCGGCAATGGATGCAGAAATTCAGATCAGCTCCAAGAGCCATGGCTACCCCCTTGCAAATAGTGTCGCTGCCTTCATTCTCATCTCTCTGTTCATTGAGAAATCTGATTTTAAGCTACTGCAACATTTTGGAGGGAGTAGTTCCAGATGATCTCAGCTGCTTGTCCTCTTTAAGGTACCTGGACCTCAGCGGCAATCTATTCTCAAGCCTGCCAATAAGCATAAACCAACTTCTGATGCTTGAAGAGCTCAACTTGGATGATTGCTGGAAGCTTCAGTCACTGCCTGAAGTTCCTCCAAATGTTTCTCTGGTGAGAGCGAGCCTTTGTGATTCCCTGACAGTAATTGCAGATCCAATAAATTTATGCAGCTGGAAAGCTGCAAAGATCATATGCTTCAATTGCTTCCAATTAGTTATTGGCAATGGTTCCAACAACATGGCTTTTACAATGATCATAAGATATATTCAGGTATCTTTCTCTCTTCCCTTGTCACCTTTATGTTCTGCAAGTGTATGTTTGATGCAGCTTTTCCAGGAGTTTTTTTTTTCTTCTTCTTTATACTCTGAAAGCATAAGCGTGCCAGACTTTGGAGCTTGCTGAGCTTTTTAATCAATTGTCTATCTATTTTGGTACAGGGGTTGACAATACCAAGGCCCAGATTCGACATTGTATTTCCTGGAGTCGGAATTCCCAAGTGGTTCAACCATTACAGTGAGGGACACTCCGTAATCCTGGAAGTGCCTCCCAACTTGCACTTGAATACCAAATGGATGGGCTTTGCTGCTTGTGTTGTTTTCAGCGCACTTCCTCAACCTTTGGACGATCAGCATTTTCTCCTGACCTGTCACTTCATCGTCAATGGAAAGCTAGGTTCCTCTTGGCCTTCCATTTCTTTCCAAAGGAAATCTGGTTACGGGGATCACGTCTGGTCGTTCTTTTTCTCCGTTGGCTGCTTGTCGGAGTGGCCGCCTGATGGATTCGATAGCATTGAGTTGTCCTTTGAGATGCACTCTCCTGAGATCAATGTGAAGGAGTGTGGTGCCCGTCTGATATATCGGCGAGACGCTGAACTCCTGTACACTATAAAGGCTAGTGATTTGAGCATCTGGGATCATTCTCCAGTGGAGCCAGCTGCTACAGTTGATTCCTCGGATTTGCTTGCCATTTGAAAGTTTTCATTTCAAGGAAACCCCAGGTTTGGCTTCTATTCTTCAAAGAAAGTTGACTTATAAGGTCTGTTACTAAGTACTACTCTTGAATTTGGTTTAGATTATAGAGGAATACGTGTTCTACAGGACCTTTTGCCAAGTTAAACGATTTCTTGCCTCTTGGCATCTTTTTTTTTTTTTTTTTTTGACAATCTTGCCTCTTGGCATCTTGTGTAAATATGGACACAACGTAATCACTTAAATCTACAGAACTCTCTTTTGTCCAGTCAGTTTATTACGCTTGAATGTGCTTTTTCTATTGCTTCTTTGCTCTTGGCTTGTGCTGTATCTTCTAGGGATTAGCCTAGCAGATAGTTGGGTTCTATATTGTCATTCAGATAGATGTCAGTTACTCCCAAATCACAGTGATTTTAGAGGTAAAAAGGCAGTCATTTCGAGCAACAAACAGTCCTTAGAAAGCCAAACATTGCTAATTTTGCCTACAAAATCATATGCTGGTGAATTTGATAAAAAAAAAAAAAACAAACACTGCTACTTCTACTTCTGCAGTTAGATGCACTACAAAGACAAAAAGATCATTGCTGGCGTGGATCAAGCACAGCGCCAAGGAAAAGCACAGCCCTCGACACTTCTTCCTGTATCATGAACATGAACGGACGATCGGCCACAAACTTCTCCTCGGGAGGCGGTGGTGGACTGGGTGGCGGGCATCCGAAGCTCATCACAGTAACTGCGGCGGCTTCAGTTCCTTCCTCGTCTACTTCAATGTAAGCCTTCTGATACACCTCATTGACACAAATCCTTTCCGAGTTATGTCCCACCATCTCCGTGAACTCACCGAGCCTCTGAAACGGCAGCTGCAGCCCCAGATCCTTCATTATATCACAAGGATTGAACAGGCTCGTGAACTTCAGCTTCGGGATCCACACCTTCTCGAGCATAGTCTGTTGAAGCTCCAAGTTCTGCATCGGTCCCAAATATGGACAGAACCTGAGCAGCATCTCCTGCAGGCTGATCGTCGTGGGAAGGAAGATGTACATCGTGAACTGCTGCTGCTGCTTCTTGGTCCCGTTCTCGTAGGGGAGCTTCAGGACCTTGAAGCCGTCGAAGGATCCGTAGTAGTGGTTTGACATCGGGTGCCTCATGAAGGAAGTCCTGATCTTGGTTCCATCGAAGAGGTAAAAATCTTCCTCCTGCGTCATGACTTTTGCGAATGGCTGAGTCCAGAATCCCTTGAAGTAGATTGCATTCACGAGGATCATAACTAGTTCTTTCCTGATATTGTCAGGCCCAATGATATCTTTTATGTGCCCTTTGGTAGCTCTGTCTGCCCACTGGTTTATCTCCTCTGCAATTCTCAGAGCCTAACAAAATGAACAAACTGATTATTCTCCATCAGGCAAGCTTCTCTATGTCTTCGTAAGGGATTAATCGTTTACATAGTCCTCTCTATCATTCCAGTTTTGTTGGATGTCCTCTAAGGAATAATTCTTTTCACAGTCCTTATATATTAGAATGAATTATCAACCTTCTCTAAGAAAAGAAAAGCTTCTGATCTATTATATAATAGACAACTAAACGAAGAACACAGAGCAAAGCGTGTAAAGTACATGGGTAATCTTACCTGAAGCCGGAAATCGCCGTAAGAGTATTTAGCGCGGTAGACATCCTTGATGACCCTCTCGAAGGAAGGTTTGAGGGGCGATTCATGATCGAACCAAATTGCACTCCCTGCCATCACCGTCGCTTCTCTGCCCCCGGCTGGTTGCTGAGCTGGCTGGCCGGAGAACATACTCGGATAGAAGTACGGCATGCCCGACGGGTTCACAAACTCAGTTGGCGGCGGCGTGGGGAGGTTGGCGCTCTTGTTGCTGTTGTTGTTGTCGTCGTCGGCAGTGGTGAGCGCTGCCATGAAAGACAGAGCTTTGGAATTGAGGTCTTGGACGGATTCGTAGCCGAGGGCGGCGAGCAGTTGGTCGGAGGTTCTGCCGGTGGCCCCGCAGGCCACGATGCAGAGGGAGAAGTGGAGCGACGAAGGGGAAGTCAGGAGGTTACCGGCTGACGGATTCGTCGCCGCCGCCTTGATTTCCCGGAGAATTGCTTCGATTCCGACTCCCACGCAGAAATCCATCTTTCTGTCGAACCACTGATCAGAGTGAGAACGGAGTTTCAAAGACGATGGATGGAGATATGATACGTGTTAAGCTTGTATTTATTTTATATAGGTTTTGGTAGACCGACGCGTAGCTTAACATTGACGCCTCCCTTTCCGCGCCCACGTAAGGGTTGGTTGATAATCCAACTCGGACTAGGATTAGGGTTGGGGTTTTGATGTTACTGTATCATTGGCCAACTTTGGTTATTTATTGACAAAAAGCAGTCTACTAGTCCTAAAGAGGAGAAAAATCAACGTTTTCATTCATAAAAAAATGTTAGAAATCATTCCCGGCCGGCAAGCAACAAGTACATATGGGTAAACATTAATAAAAACTTTGGGACACAAACGTACGTAAAAAACAAGTATATAAAATAAGTGTTGGTTTAACTACGTACGTATTGGTACACGATTGTATTGTATCTCAATTTTATGGATCGAGATCAATTCTCGTATATATGTTGGTCATTTGTTACTCGACCAGACCACATGCAGTAGATGAACATTGATATATGCCAGCCTCACTGAGCGACGAAGGGTTTAACGGTGTTGCACATCCCCGGGTTCCTGAGGCACCACAACGGTTGAATCGGTTCGGCCATAATCCCTCTCCCGACCATCCTATACCTCCACTCGTTCAACCGATCCGTCGCCTCCGCATACCTCTTCACCCCCTTCTCGTCCCGATTCCCGGACCACATCGCCTCCGCCATCGCCGCCGCTCGCGGCCAAACCCTCGCGTCCAGCACCGCCCCGTCCGCCTGCTCCGACCACAATGCCACCTCAGCACCCAACACCCTCCCCTTTTCCACCTCGCTCAACCCATGCGTTATGTCATAGTTGTACACCTTCTGCCACGTCTTGTACGGCCCGCACCACGACCCGCCGTTGCTGTCCACGTCGCTGCTCGTCGGCGGGCGGTCGTACTGGCTGTCGTTCCCCAAGAAGTCGCCGTGGCCGCAGTCCAAGTAGTAGAACTCCCACGACGAGACGATGACGCGGTACCCTGCCGCCGTCAGCAGCTTGGTGTTGTTGGGCCCGTTGTTCCACGTCTGGAACACGGTGTGCTCCGGCGGGAACACGGCCGGGTTGTTGACTTTGACGTCGGGGGCTAGGATGACGTCTTCCCAGTACACGGCGGTCTTGTTGTGGGATGTGATTATGGGGAGTGTCTTGTTGATGAAGGTTTCGAGGATTTGGCTGAGGGTGCCGTTTTGTTGGGAGAGGAAGGATTGGATGGACGGGTCGGCTTTCCAGCAACCTGGGGTGACCTCGTCGGCGCCACCGTGGAAGAATGGCTCCGGGAACATGGATGCGATGTCGTTTATAACGTTCCCCACGACTTCGTAGGTTTTGGGGTGGAGCGGGTTGAGCTGCCCGGTTCCTGGCTCCGCAGCTAACCGGTCGGCCCATGGGCTGCCGGCCGGCCACCAGAACTTGTCGGCGCAGGTTATTATGTCTGGGTAGGCTCCGGCCCAGGAACCCGTGTGTGCTGCAAGAAATTAACAAGGTAACATTATAGCCAGGTGGATTAATTAATTAAAGAGGTTTGGTTTTTGAGCTATCTATCTTGTAGCTACATATTAATCTTTTGTTGCCAGCCAACTTGCTATTGTCCACTCTCCCTTGGCCCAACAAAGAAACAACACAATGCAATTAATAAATTGAATTAATATACAAAACAGGTTTAATCAATCATATTTTTGTGAGTCTTGAAGTCAAATTACTCAATTCATAAGAAGAATGGATAAATTTTGGATTAATGCATTTGTGAGCTTTCTCTGTTAAAAAATCATTATTCGTTTAATACATTTGATTGAGAAATGTAAAGTACGGAATAACACAAGAGATTCACTTTGTCAACTGCATCATAATACCTTATATATTTGAGATTGTACCATTTAATTATTATCTAAGGATCAAAATCCAAACATACGCGAATTGCAAAATGTTAACATCTATCATTTAGTTAACATATTATCTTTAATTTTTCATTTTAGTTAACAATTAAATGAAGAAAAAAACAGCACTAATTATATAATATTACCGGGAGTGTCGACCTCGGGCACAACCCGGACCCCATGCTCGTACCCGTACTGCACGACCCGACCCACATCCGCAACTGAATACCTCATCCCGCGCCCGTACGCCCCTTTGGCCGCGAGTCCCGGCTCCGACGGCAGCTCCAGGGGGAAGGAATGCGAGTCCGTGATGTGCCAGTGGAAGACATTCATCTTGTTATGGCTCATCGCCTTAATCGTCCTCAGGATATCCTCCACCGGATAGAAATTCCTCGACGTGTCCAGCAGAAACCCTCTGTGCCCGAACAGTGGAGCGTCGCGGATCTCCAACCCGACCGGCACCCGCCGCCGCCTGCCCCACACCAGCTGGGAGAAGGTCTCCAGCCCCCGCATGGCCCCCCACACGGTGGCGGCGCTGAGATTTGCGGTTGCGGATAAGTAATTGGGAGGGATGGAGAGGGTGTAGGACTCGTCGACGCCGTGGATGAGCGGGGCGGCGAGGTCGGCCACGGAGATGGACAGGGATTGGAGGGGAGTGGGCGATGTGGAGAAGAAGTTGGTGGTGGTGGTGGTGGTGTCGGATATGGGGCGGTGGCGCTCGGAGGAGATGAGGCGGTGGTAGCGGGCGACGGCGGCGGAGAGGTAGTGGTTGGATGGCGATGTGGGTGAATCGAATTGGAAGGCTGGGGAGAGGGTGGCGATCGTGTACGGGGAGGACCAGGATATGGAGGTGGGTTTGGGCCAGACGTTGACCGGCAACGGCAAGGCTGTGGCTGAAGAATGGATGAGGAGGAGGAGGGCCGTGAGTATCGTGGAGAAGACGTGGCTTGTGGCGATTGGGTGAGAGGTCATGGGAGCCATCTCGCCGCCGGAGAGGTTGTTTACCGGCAAGAAAATATTGGATTGGTGGGGTAGCAATTAAGCGGGTCTACTGTACGTGCGAGTATTTATAATTATATGGGGAAGGCGGGGAATTGTGGCGGCAGAATCAATTGATTGTTAATCGCTAATGACAAATCCAAAGTATGGTGTGGCTGTTTATGGTTGTTGTTTACTTGTTTAGTTGGCTGGCTGG